TGCTTGAGTCCTCCTTGTTCTGAGTGCAAGGGGCCTTCCAGCGGGCAGGCACAGTCCAGCAGTGGCCTTCAAAACCACCTGGCAGCAGGACTGTGTCACATATTTGGGAAAAGAAGGGTTTTCAAAGGACTGGATTGAAACTATGCTAACTACAGACAGGAGGCCAGGTTTTAAGGCTGGCCTTGCATCGGGCTGCCTTGGGGGCTGTGGACTGAGGCTGGCCTTGCATCAGACTCCCTCAGGGGCTGTGGACTCTGGGTTTTGCAGCTGTAGAGCGATGGAGCTGGGGAAGCTGGAAGGCATTCCAGGGCAGTCGTATCCTCATGGCCTTGAATGCTGCTAAAGGTCCGTCTTTCTCTTCTCTCAGCCCCATTTGTTTGGGAAGAACCCAGCATACAAGAACCAGCTGCCAAAGACTGAAGGAGCCAAGGGGCCGCAAACAAGAAGGGGACATGTCCCAGGTGACACCATGTATAGCCTGGTGGGGGACATGGGGACAGAGCACCGTCTCAGATGGTAGCAGGGCAGTGGATGTCTGAGCAGTCAGTAGCTTATACAGCACGCAGAACAAAGGTGGCCCTGAGGCTTACCTTGGAGTCCCTGCTTTCTCAAGACACGGTGACATCCCATGCTTTGGCTAGAGGGATAGTCCAGGGCCTGGCCCAGCCAAGCAAACCTAGCAGGTTATGGTAATGACTTTGCTCATGATGTTTGGGGTGTCCTCCAGGGTTCTACGGAGGGCAAGATGGTTGAATAAATAACTCTTAACAATATAAAATAAAAGAGCCAATAGGACAGCACATGGCTAAATTGGCCACAGCCTGATCTCAGCTGATGCCACTTCTCACAGGACTTTCTGTAAGAAACGGTGAACTTGGGTCAGGTATCATGGTACAGTAAGCTAAGCCTCTACCTGTGGTGCCAGCATGTCCTAAGGATGCAGGTTCAAGTCCCTACTGATCCACTTCTAAGCCAGATCTCTGCTTGTAGCTTGGGAAAGCAGTGGAAGATGGCTCAAGTCCTTGAGTCCTTGCACTGATATGGAGACCTAGAAGAAGCTCCTGACTCCTGGCTTCCAGCTTTGGCCTGATTCAGCTCCAGCCATTGCGGCCATGTGGGGAGTAAACCAGCAGTCTCTGTGTCTGTCTTTCCCCTCTTTGCAAATCTGCCTTTCTAATAAAAATAAATACATCTTGAAAAAGAAGAAAGAGATGGCGAACTTTCCCAGGAAGAGGAGAAAAGGATGCACCCACCGATCCCTATCCTCGTTTGCCAAATGTTTGCCCTATGAAGTGTCCAAAGAGACCCCTGCACGCCCAAGGTCAAAAGTGCAGGGTTAAGGGGACTTGTGTGTGATGCACTTGCGTCTGTGTGAAGTCAGCTGATAAAACAGCTATAGTCAAATGAGTTGCAAAGACCCAAAGGCAAAGGGTGGCCTAGGTGATCCTAAATGGTGTGTTAAAAATGCCTGATCCAGCGGCAGGCATTGAGTCTAGGGATGGAGGCATCTGAGTTCCACATCAGAGCTCCTGGCTCTGACCCCTGACTCCAGCCTCCTGCCAATAATGCAGATGCCGGGCGGCAGCAGCGATGGGAACCACTGTCTCACATGGGAGCCCTGGATTGCACTCCTGGGTCCCGACCCTGGGACAAGATGATTTAGACATTTGGGGAGTAAGCAAGTGGCTGAGAGCATGTATCTACTTGTTCATTCTTTCTCTGTCTCAAGTTGACAATTTCTTTTTAAAAAAGTATCGGATCCAAGGGCCCTGCATGATGGTTCAATGGCTAAATCCTTGCCTTACAAGCGCCAGGACCCCATCCAGCTCCCTGCTTATGGCCTGGGAAATGAGTAGAGCATGGGGCCTGGCACAGTAGCCCAGTGGCTAAAATCCTTGTCTTGCATGTGCCAGGAATCCATATGGTCTCTGGTGCATGTCCTGGTCAGCCCCACTTCCCAAACAGCTCCCTGCTTGTGGCCTGGGAAAGCAGTTGAGGACAGCCCAAGGCTTTAGGACTCTGCACCTGCATGGGAGACCCAGAAGAGGCTCCTGGCTCTTGGCTTCAGATCTGCTCAGCTCTGGCCATTGCAGTTGCCTGGGGAGTGAACTAGCAGACAGAAGATTTTCCTCTCTGTCTCTCCTCCTCTCCGCATATCTGACTTTCCAATAAAAATAAATAAATCTTAAAAAAAAAAAAAAGCAGTAGAGGATAGTCCAAAGTCTTGAGCTCCTGACCCCTCGTGGGAGACCCAGAAGAAGCTCTTGGGTCCTTGGCCTCAACTTTGTTCAGGATCTTTCTCTCTCTCTCTTTTTCTGGGGGTGTCCCATCTTGTTCACGCAGGAAGGTTTGGTAACCTCTCTCCTTCCTCTCCCCCTCTGCCAGCTTACAGTTCCCTCCACTCAGGGGGCAGCTGGCAGAACTGGGCTGAAGGCAGATTTGTTGCTATTTAAGGATTGGAGGATTAAGTGGATCAGAAATGCTCCCAGTCTCATCCTGATGTTGGAATCCTACTTCCTGAGTGTTATGAAATACATGATGACACCATGGGCACCCCCCGCCCAACCCTGTGGAGCCCAGCTGCCTGCCCGGCCTGCACAGAGTGAGAGATTGGGGTCAGAGCGGCAGGCCTCTCTGATGCGTAAGGACTAAGTCTAGCAGCTCGCTGAGCGATGTCGGCTGGTCATGAAGGAGCGCACTATTCCAGCTCAGGACTCTGTCTGCTGCTAACTGGGGACCCCAGCTGCTCTGCTCATGGTGTGGTGAGCAAGGCTAGGAAGCAGGGGTATCCTCCAGCCCCAGCTGGGGGTAACAGGTGGGGATGTGGGCTGGTTGACAGGATACGGAGGATGGCCAGGCTCTCACCACCTGGCACAGGAGACTTGAGCATCAGTGAGTTTGTGCATTCCGCAGATGCTGAGATCAAGTGCATGGAGTCCTCACCGTCACCCAGGGCCTGGCTCTGCTGGTGTGTGAGTGCTTCACCACAACGAATCAGTCACAGTTAATCATCACAACCCCAATGCGGCCGTGACCAGCTTCTCCTTTTCCCAGGGGCGTGGGCCAGGCTACGTCACACCAGGCCTATGGCAGCAACAGCGCAGAAGTCCGGGTAACCTGTCCCATGGACGGCTCTCAGCTGTGGCCCTCTGATCTCCCCGCTGAGTCCCAAGGCCTTTTCCTGCCCCTCCTGCTTCCAAGGATACAGCCTCACTTATCCCACTGCTATCCTCACCCACTTCCCAGGGAGCACTCCCTCTGCCCATCTGCCACAGCCAAGTCTGGGCCCTGGTGCCTCCCGCACATCCAGCACCTTAGGGACTGCACCGAATCCTCCCAGCACACAGCCTTGCCGCCTCTCACCTGCTCCAACACTGTGGAACGGATGTGCTGACACAGCAGGTTAAGTGCCAGTATCCTGTGTCCAGGCTGCTACACTTCCCATCCAGCTCCCTGCCACTCTGCCTGGGAAAGCAGTGGAAGATGGGCCAAGTGCTTGGGTCCCTGCACCTGTGTGGGAGACCCAGAAGAATCTCCCGGTTTCTAGCTCCTAACTGTGGATTCACCCAGCCCTGGCCATTGTGACCCTTTGGATAGCGAAACAGTGGATGGAAGATCTCTTTTTTGTTCTAACTCTGTCTTTTCAATAAAAATGAATAAGTGATTTTTAAAGATTTATTTTATTTTTATTGGAAAGGCGGATATACAGAGAGGAGAGACAGAGAGGAAGATCTTCCATCCACTGGTTCGCTCCCCAAGTGAGCGCAACGGCCGATTCTATGCCGATCCGAAAACAGGAGCCTCTTCTGGGTCTCCCACGCGGGTGCAGGTTCCCAAAGCTTTGGGCCGTCCTCGACTGCTTTCCCAGGCCACAGGCAGGGAGCTGGATGGGAAGCGGGGCCGCCAGGATTAGAACCGGCGCCCATATGGGATCCCAGGGCGTGCAAGGCGAGGACCTTAACCACTGCGCCATCGCGCCGGTCCCATGAATAAGTAACTTTTAAAAAAGCAAATGTGGGCCACTTTCCGCCCTTTCTCAGGTCCTAGGACCTCTCTATGTGCTCCTGCCGCCTAGCCCAGGTCAGCTCAGGTTCCCAGTGCTCCATGCACACTGCTGCCCTTCCTCCGAACACCTGTCTCATTCTGGACACAGGAAGTCCTGGCTGGACTTACCAGTGCCTGAAAAACTCCTCCCCAGAGTCACAGCTGAGCGCCGGAGCCTCCCCTGGGCCATGCACTCAGTCCTTTCCCATCTCACCCACGCCCACAGCCCCCACCAGCGCTGTTCCCAGCCTACACTGTGGCCAGCTCACAGACTCAGAGGAGCGGCAACCCCTCCGGAACCACAAGGCCCAGGAGTCCCACAGCTAAGATCCTTGGTACCCCATACACCCCCACTTTCACCGGCCCCAGGCCTTCCTGTACAAGATACTAGGAGATCCCACTAGGCCGCCTCCCAGGGGAGCACAGAGCACGGCTGAAGCTACCCCTGGATCCCCACTGCGCCCCAGCCCCAGTCCCCAGGCCTCAACCGGCCTAATAACAAAGCTTCCCACGTCCACACCACAGGGCTGCCCAGCAAATCGCAGCCCCATTAGCCCGCGCGCGGGTTGCACGCCGCACCCCTGGCCCCGCCCCTCCCGCAAGGCTCCGCCCCTTCCCTCCAGCTCGCCCCGCCTTCTGACCCCACAGGTTCCGCCCCCGCGCTCCGTCCCCGGTGGAGCTCGCCTCGCCCCGCCCCACGCAGGCCCCGCCCCTCAGCAGGCTTCGCCCACGACTGGAGTTCTCCCCGCCCCTCTTAGTCCCGCCCCACGCAGGCCCCGCCCCTGGCGCTCCCTTTCGTGGTGGAGCTCCACTCGCCCCCGCCCCCTCCGCAGCCCCGCCTCTCCCAGCAGCCCCCGCCCACAGCCCCTCCCCTCCCGTAGGCCCCGCCCATCCGCGCTCCGCGTTCTGGATCGTCGCCGCCGTCAGGCCGGAGGAGCCGGCGTCTGACTGCGGAAGCCGGCCGCCGTGTGGCGGGGCTGGCGGGGCAGCCATGGAGGCCGCGGCGCGGAGGCGGCAGCTCCCGGGAGCGGCGGGCGGCCCGGGCCCCTCGTTCCTGCAGGCCAGGTGGGCGAGGAGCCGCGTCCCTGCTCGGTGGCCGAGCCGGGCGCATGGAGTCCCGGGGCGCCCCGGAAACCCGAGCGCACCTGCAGGTGCTGGGGCCCCTCCGCCCTGGGCGGACCGTCGGGGGCTCGCTCCTGCACGGGGCCGAGGAGGAGTGAGGCTCCCCGGGGTTTGGCCGCTGTCCATGCCCCCCTGCACCCGGTCTCCCTGCCTTACTCAGGCGGGCTGCGTCCAGCCCACTTCCCTTAGTCCGTCTGGTGGCCCAAAAGGTGGGCAGGGCGAGACTCGAAGGAGCCCAGGTAGGGGTGGGAAGTAGCCTGAGGTGGGCTGGGGGACGCAGAGCGGGGCATCCCAGCCCTGGCAGGGGTGTGGGGTAGGGATTGCCAGGAGGACCTGAAGAGGGCCTTTGCAGTCCAAGTTTATTGGACCGGCGCTCCAACCGCAGGTGGGAATCAAACTTCCACAAAGTTGATGTTGAAGTGGAGCGTTGCGCAGGGCACGGCCCGCGAAGGATGCTCGCCCGGGGGCAGGTTGCAGGGCTGCCCTCCCGTGGGTGGGGGTCGAGGGGCCTCAGTGGTTCGGAGGCGCTGGCTGGCTGTGCAGGCAGGGTACAGCCCTGAGGGAGTGTGGGGCTGGTAGGGGGCTCCGCCCGGGTGCTGTCCTGAGAGACAAGGGAGGATGCCACCTTGGCCCAGAAACCCCAGGGAACCGTGGAAGGTGCGAGCTCGGTGTGCTGGGAGTCAGACGTTTGTGGTGTGATTGGCTTGTCGGGGGGCGGGCGCTAAGACGCCCTCCTCCCAGGTTGGGCCTCTGATCTAAGTCGGATTTCATTGCCGGATGAAGAAATGGGCTCAGGGAAGCGGCTAGGGGTGCAGGGTGGGTTCTCCGCAGAACAGCTGCCTCAGAACACTTCTGCCTCAAAGATGTTTCTGGGTGTCAGAGAGGGTCACACTGCCCCAGGAGTGGACCTTCCAGATCCAGCCTGCCACTTCGCCACTGTCTGTCGCTCCCAGTACATGGAGGGAAAGACTGAGGCCTGCAGAGCTTGTGTTTGTTGTCAAGAACCAGAACCTAAATGCAGGGCTTCTGACAGACGTCTGCTCCATGCTGGCTGCCGAGCAGTGATGTCCCTCTGTGGCCTGTTCACCCCTCTGGCACCAGAAACAACCCTGTGAATCACTTTCCCTGTTTCCCCAGAGTTCTGAGTAAGCAGTAATGTCTACGTGACACCCAACACCGTGCAGCACTTTGTGCTCTCAGCTTCTGATTCAGTCATTTCCACTTGGGGCACTACTGTTATGCCCATTTTACACATGATGATATTGAGGCCCAGTGGTTACAGCTTGTCTCAAGATCTCATTAGTGGTGGAGCTGGGACATAAACCTCAGGCAGTCTGCAGAGCCCACACAGTCTGAAAGCTGTGCTCAACTACCATTTCTTGGTTTACCAACTTCAAGTATTGCCTCCTTGTTAGGGTTTGACTCACCACCTCCCTTATCACGTAGCGCTCATGGCTGTGCACCCAGTGTTACTTCTTTTATTTTTTTTTAAGATTTATTTATTTTTTCTTGGAAAGTAGATTTACAGAGAGAAGGAGATACAGAGAGGAAGATCTTCCATCCACTGGTTCACTCCCCAAGCGGCCGCAACAGCTGGAGCTGAGTTGAACTGGTCTGAAGCCAGGAGCCAAGAGCTTCTTCCAGGTCTCCCATGTGGGTGCAGGATCCCAAGGCTTTGGGCCATCCTCGACTGCTTTCCCAGGCCACAAGCAGGCAACTGGGTGGGAAGAGAAGTAGCCGGGATACGAACCAACGCCCATATGGCATGCCAGGCAAACAACATGAAGACTTTAGCTACTAGGCTATTGCACCGAGCCCTCCAGAGTTACTTCTTACTTTGGTCAGCTAGAGGGGGTCACCACTCTTTCTTACAAAGAGAATGTTGGCCCCTGTCTTGGCCTTTAACTTTTATTGCCCTTTCTTGAGCTTGTCATCTGTAGTTTTGCTTTCATGTTGCCAAGGTCACAGCATCTGCCTGTATTCCAGCCTTAATTATCTTCTACATTTTATAGATTTGTTCTAAACACTGGAAATCAGTATACAATGTTATATTATTTAAGTCATATAAATGTTATTCCCTACAGAGCCAAGTCATGGTTAACAGTTACACTGGCTCTTGTTTTTCAATCAGTTCTGTGAGCCCCATCATCCCTCCGCAGTCCCACTCATGGGTCCCTGCCTGACTTCTCTGGGACTCCCTCCCTTCTCTGCCAGGCTATCCTCCGGTCGCTCCCGAATGCTTGAGTGTCTCCATGGGGTGATGTGCACTTCCCAGCTGTCATGGTGTCAGGTGTTCCACCTGGCAGACATGCCAAGCCCTGGAAGAGGCCAGCTGTGTTTCAGGTTACCTGCTGTGGAGCTGTTCCCATTGTTCTCTGCAGCAGCAGTGGGTGGCTGAGAGCGAGGGCTTCTGGCCTGGTCTGGGGGCTCATTGTTTGGTGCGTGGAGTCAGGAACTTGGGGCAGGCCTGAGCTGACAATTGCAAGGGCAGGGTCTTTAGTCTTCATGATCTGTCTCCCCGAGTCAGGGGCCCAGGAGGAGACAACTGCTCAGATGCTGCTCAGCCCCGATTCCCAAGCTGGCCAGCTGCCCTTGGCCTTGTGGGTTTTGTTTTCTTTGCTTCCCTGCCCTGCTAGGCCAGAGTGGACTAATGATGGGCCATTCCACGGACTGCAGTGGAAAAGGACCTGGTAGGCGCTGGGAACCACCTGTGTAGTGTCTCATTGCGCTGAAAGAATAATAGAGACAAGCCACTTAGGAGAGAAAGACAGGTGATTTAGTTCACAGTTCTGGGGGTTCAAGTCCAAAATCGGGTGTCATTGTGGTATTGGCGTTGGTGCAGTTGTTAGGATCCTGCTTGGGAAGCCTGCGTCCTATATCTGATCTCAGCTCCACTTCCTTTTTTTTTTTTTCTTAAGATTTATTTGTTTTTATTTGAAAAGCATATTTTCAAGGAGGAGAGACAGATACTCCATCTGCTGGTTCACTCCCTCAAATGGCCAAAGGAGCCAGAGCTAAGCCAACCTGAAGCCAGGAACCAGGATCCTCCTGCAGGTCTCCTACGTGGGTATAGGGGCCCAAGGACCAGAGCCAGCCTCCTCTGCTTTCCCAGGCCATAAACAGGAAGCCGGATCAGAAGTGAAGCAGCAGGACTGGAACCAGTGCCTTTATGGGATGCCAGCACCGCTGCTCCACTTTCATTCCAGCTTCCTGCGGATGAGCACCCTGGGAACTGAGGTGATGGCTCCAGTGACTGAGTCCCACTGGCCACATTGGAGACTAGGTTGCATTCCAGGCTCCTGGCTTTGCCTGGTCCGTCCTGGCTGCTGGAGGCATCAGTAGGTGGGAAGTCTTTCTCTGCCTTTTACATAAAATGAACACTTAAAGAATTACCATCTGAGGGCATGCCCCTTATCCTCCCCCTGACTCACTACCCACATGGTGTCTCCACCCTGTCTGGACCCCCGTCTTAGGACTTAGGGACTTAGGTTCTTACCCTCCTGCCTGACCCGAGCTCTGCAGGCCCGGGACTCCCACCACGGGCTTCATGCAGCCTTGCCCTGGTGATCACCTGGAAGAGTGGGCAGATTGGCGCCTGGGCCAGCCATTGCCTCCAACCCCGAGCAGTGCTCACAGGTCCTTCCTGAGTGGCCAAACCATCTGAAGACCCAGCGGTTCCTGCCCTACTCTTCCTCCACCGCCTGTGAACCAGGCTCCCCAGCTCCGCATAGCAGCCCCGCCACCACCTCCTGGTCCCAGCTCCGCATTGCAGCCCCGCCACCACCTCCTGGTCCCAGCCCCGCATAGCAGCCCCGCCATCACCTCCTGGCCCTCTTCTGCTGGAGTCTGCTCAGGTGTATCCATGCTAGCACTGATGTTGCCTTCCTGCAGGCCACAGGAACCCATTCGGCTTCTTGTCCTAACTCACCCGTGACTTTTATTATTATTATAATTCAGAGCAGAATCGCAGACTTCTGGGAACACAGGTCCTCAGACACAGGAGGTCCAGGCTGCATTCTCCTGGGTTGTGAATATCAGCCAGGCAGCACAAGGGGTGGCACCTTGGGCATAGATGACCAGCCTGGAGCTGCTCGCCCTAGGACAGGGGAGGCTGTATGTCTGCCCTGCAGGGCAGTCCTGACCACTGGCCATGAGCAGCCTCGAGGTTTCCTCACATGCCCAGCACATAGCCCTGGAGGAGCTCCTGCCACCAGGTCCTGCTGGGCCAGCCTGACTCGCCAACCCTCCGCTATCTCCTTAGTGCATGGCTGACCTTGACCCAGCGCCAATTCCTCCCGCTCCTTGTCTATAGAGCACGAAGGGCACAGCCTGCCTGCTGGTGCATCTGGTGATTAGATGCGATACTATGGCAAAGCTCCTAGCAGAGCCTATAGTTGGTCTGTAGGAAGTGGTGGGGACAGGAAGACAGGTGACCCCGGGAAGGCCTGCTCCACCTGCAGCCTCCCTGCCCAACCCCAATGTCCTGCAGGCCGAGTGGGCATCACCCTTGGTGTTAGCTGCAAAGAATCCTGGGAACTACAGTATCCGTAACAGCATGGACAGCGAGGTGCCTCTAAGCTGATGTTTGCCACTAGAAGTGCAGTAGCTGGTGATGGTGATTGCTTCGGATCAGTCAGTGGTTATTGAGTGGGAACCAGCAGCTGAGCTGGGGGTACTGAGGCTGTGATCCAGGGCACGTGGTGCCCGCCTCTTCTGGGCGCAAGGGGGAGATACAGGGCCAGTGCTGTGGCACACAGGTTAAACCTCTGCCTGCAAAGCCGGCATCCCACGTCAGAGCACCAGTTCAGATCCCAGCTGACCCAGCTCCCTGCTAAAGCCTGGGAAGGCAGTGGAGGATGGCTGAGGTCCTCGCATCCCTGCCACCCATGTGGGAGCCCCGGATGGAGTTTCTGGCTCCTGGTTTTGACCTGAGCCAGTGGATAGATGATCTCTCTCTGTCTCTTTTCCTGTCACTCCACCATTCAAATTCAGTTTTAACATTAAAATCAAGATGGGGGCAGTGCAGTTCCCGGCGTACTCCACTGGAGGTGTGCCAGGGAAAGCAGGCCCACTCTGAAGAGGATGGGCATGCTGATGGGGAGGGGCAGCCCTCTAGAAGGCCTACACGACCCCATGTTGTCATGACTGGACGGGCTGAGTGACCAGGCGCTCCCCAGCATGGGGCAGGAGGGTTTGCATCACGGAGGCAACACTAAACTTGAGTGCCTCTGTGAACAGCCAGTGGCCGACTGGTTTGCTAGACAGGGTGTTTCCAAAAAAAGTTCATAGAAAATAAAATTGAAAGGTAAGTATATCTTGGTGTAAAAGATTTTAAAGTCCATACTTTTTTTAAAATATAACATGTAGTTTCCATGAAGTTTCATGGATTTTTGTTTGAGAAAAAACAAAACAAAACAACAAAACTTACTCGGGGAGGGGGGGGAGTAGCAGGGCCCTGAGCCCAGGAGTCGTGTCCTGTTGCCTCCCAGAGGGTGTGTTACCAGGAAGCTGGTATTAGCAGCTGAGCAGGGCCCAGGCCCTCGGGTGCCTGACTGCTGTGTGACGAACACCTGTCCCTTCCTGAACTCCTTGGGAGCCCTCAGGTGTCGTCAGGTCCTGCCCCCAGTGCTGCTGTGCCCCACATCAGTTCCCCCCCACCCTCAGCTGACTACCTCCCCACGGCCCCACGCTTATATCTCATTGGAAGACCCCAACTAGTCCAGCTCAAGGTCCCAGGCCCATGGTTCAGAGCAGTCACTGTGTATGCAACTTGGGATGGAGGTTAAAAGTATCAGCTCCAAAGACAGGCATTGTGGCACAGTGGGTAAAGCTGTATGGGCGCCGGTTCAAGTCCCTGCTGCTCCACTTCCCATCCAGATCCCTGCTAATGTACCTGGGAAAGCAGTGCAGGATGGCCCACGTGTTCAGGTGCCTGCCACTCATGTGGGACCTGAAAGAAACTCCTGGCTCCTGACCATCCCAGCTCTGGCTGTTGTCGTCATCTGGGGAGTGAACCAGTGGATGGAAGATCTTTCTCTTTCAAGTAAATAAGTAAATCTAAAAAACAAACAAAGAGAAACAGTCCTTAGCCATGTAACCTTGGATGAGTTACTTAACCTCTTGGGCCTCAGTCTTTCACCTGTAAAATGGGCACACTATTCCTGCTGTGAGGATTGCAGAGAGGAAGGACAGGAGAAGTGAGATAACTTGTCAGCCACGCACACGCCTGGCACACGGTCAGTGCCCAGGGCGGGTCCCTGGCGCCCCTGGTACCACCGTGCAGTCTGCCTCTCCGGCCTCCTTTGAATTCCCCATCATTCTGTCAAGGAGAAAGCGCAAAGCTTCCCAGGGCTCCTGGGTCACTGGGCAAACAGAGGGACCCCAGGACTCTAGGACCCCCTCCTTCAACTGCAGGTCCAGCCCAGGTACTTCCTGTGCCCAGGACCTATGAGAGCACACATCCCAGGAAGATTCTAGCAATGGCAGGAGGTTTGACCCTCTCACCCGCTTCCTTCCCAGGCACGCTTCCACCAAGGCCGATGACGTAGACCGCCCGGCCCCGTTCCACCTCGACCTCTGGGCTTACTTCACACTGCAGAACTGGGTTCTGGACTTCGGCCGCCCCATCGCCATGGTGAGTGTGTGTAACCATAGACAGCCCTGGCCAGCACGGAGAGGCCTCGCATCACCAGGGTTTGCTGAGTGCCTTTGCACTCCAACAAGAGATGTTCTTTAACCTTCACCTTCCCGTTCTGTTGCTATTACCAGCCAAGCGCAGGCGCAGCAGGCAGGGGCATGGGGGAGGGGTCGAGGGAGGAAGCACTCAGCAGTCAGACGATGCTCTCCAAAAAGTGCTCCTTGTTCTTTTTTATATCATTAGTTATTTCTCACCTACTGGACAGGCAGAGCAGTGGGGGTGTAGGGGAGGACAACGGGTGGAGAGAGAGAGAGAGAAAGTGCGATCTTCCATCTGCCGGTTCCCTCCACAGATGCCCGATCAGCCATTGCTGAACCATGCTGAAGACAGGAAGCCAGAACTCCAGCTGGCCTTGCCCCCGGGATGGCAGTGCCACTGGGATTAGAACCAACACCCATATGGGATCACGACGCACCGTGGCCTAGTGGCTAAAGTCCTCGCCTTGAATGCATCATGATGTTTTTGTTTGTTTGTTTGTTTGTTTTTGGATTTATTTATTTTTATTGGAAAGTCAGATATACAGAGAGGAGGAGAGACAGAAAGGAAGATCTTTCGACCAATGATTTACTCCTCAAGTGGCTGCAACGTTGGTACAGGGTCCCAAGGCTTTGGGCCATCCTTGAATACTTTCCCAGGCCACAAGCAGGGAGCTGGCTGGGAAACAGTGCCACTGGGATTAGAACCAACATCCATATGGGATCACGACGCATGCAAGCCAAGGACTTTAGCCGCTAGGCTATTGTGCTGGCCCTGAACCATGATGGTTTTAAGTAGTGCTGTTTGGCTGAGTCGTCAGGTACTACTGGTATTTTATAGGGTCTCAGCAAACGCTTGTCTTGACTTAGCTGAAGAAATTCATGAATCTTTCATAATAAACAGAAAAAAGAATTCCCAGGAGTGTGGTAGCACAGCCCACATCGACATCAGTACCACCTCTGCCGTCGCCCCAGAAGGCACCTGGCCTCCCGCCACCCGCCCCAGGCCGGTGATCCGCGGGGCTCCTAGGTGTGGCCAGGCCTAGACCTGTTGCAGGCATTTGGGGAGTGAACCAGGGATGGACGATTCTTTCTCTCTCTCTCTTTAAAGACTTATTTTTATTGGAAAAGCGGATATACATAGAGGAGGAAAGACAGAGAGGAAGATCCTCCATCTGATGATTCACTCCCCAAGTGAGCACAATGGCCAATGCTGTGCTGATCCGAAGCCAGGAGCCAGGAACCTCCTCCGGGTCTCCCACGCAGGTGGGTTTGGGCTGTCCTCAACTGCTCTCCCAGGCCTCAGGCAGCGAGCTGGATGGGAAGTGGAGCTGTTGGGATTAGAACCGGCGCTCATATGGGATCCCAGTGCGTTCAGGGCGAGGACTTTAGCCGCTAGGCCACGCCGCCGGGCCCTCTTTAAAGATCGATTGATTGATTTTATTTGAGTTCTGTAGACAGGAGAGACAGAAAGATCTTCCATCTGCTAGTCTGCCTCCCCCAGGTAGTCACAGAGGCCTGCGCTAAGCTGGCCCGAAGCTAGGGGCCAGGAGCTTCTTCCAGGTCTCCCACATGATTGCAGGGGCCCAAGGACTTTGGTCGTCTTCCACTGATTTCCCAGGCCATGAGCAGGGAGCTGGGTGGGAAGTTTAGCATCTGGGACTCCATCCTGCACTCATCTGGGATACGGGCAGAGGGTTAACCTACTATGCCAGGACATCAGCTCCAGGAAGATCTCTTTTATTTCACAAATAAATAAAACTAAGCAATGTATGTATGTCCATGTGATATGAGGAGAGAAGGGTTGAGATTCCTGCGTCCTGAGGGTGTTCTTTTCGTCATCGTTACCTGAGCAGCGTTGCTGTCCTAGAGTAGATGAACATGGAACTGTGGAGCTTACACAGTCTGGGAGGTTTTCCTGCAGACCCCAACGTGGGCACAGTGCAGGAGAGAGGTGTTCCCGTGGCAGGTCCTGCCCTTCCCAGCCAGGAAAGGGGTATGGGAGTCGCATGCCTTACCGCCTGCTGTGTGAGTCCAAGGTAGCCATGTGTCCCAAGGGCCTGGTGGTCATCCTAGGACCGAGTGCCCTTACCACCTTCCCTGTGTGCCAGGTGGGGACACGGAGGAAGCCAAGCCCCCCTGCAGAGTGGTGGCAGGCCTGAGTTCCCGGCTGATGTGCAAGGGGTAGGGCTCAGCACGGGGGCGTGTGTCTATATGCACCCTGTGACCCAGGACAAGCTGTGGGCCTGCTCTGGGACCCCATGTCCCCATCTGTGAGTCCTTCCACCTGGAGCTTCCCTGGGACCTGGCAGGGAACTTCCTAGGGGCCTGTGTGGCTGGGGAGGCACAGGGGCCTTGCCTGCCTCAGCCCCTTCCCACCTCTCCTCTCCCCTCTGCAGCTGGCCTTCCCCCTGGAATGGTTCCCACTCAACAAGCCCAGCGTCGGGGACTACTTCCACATGGCCTACAACGTCATCACACCCTTCCTGCTGCTCAAGGTATGGTGGATTCCCAGCCCGGAGCTGGGGCCAAGCCCTGTGCCCTGGTGTGGCCTTGCCTCTGCCCAGACCCTCGCTGCACCTGCTTCTGGGGCCGAAGGCTGTGAGGGAAGGATGGAGAGGGAGGACCAAGGCCTGGGGCATCGGGGACCACAGGGGAGAGAGACAACCTCCTGAAGAGTACCACAGGCTAGTGCTCAGGCTAGGGGTCCCCCAACAGGCGTGTGCAGGGCACCCACAGAGGGGAGAGACTGAGGTATCCAGGGGGCCACCAGGGACCCCTGGGAAGGCAGGTGGGCACCAGTGACAGCAGTGGAGACCCCGGTTGGTACTCTGGCTGCCAGGTAAGCCTTGGGCTGGGGACCCCCCCACCAATACACCAACACAGCCCCCTTCCTCTCTTATCACCAGTGGGCAGGACCTGACCTCAGATTGCCCAAGGGTCATTCAAGGGACTTTCAGATGCACCTGTCTGCCGCCTCCTGCAGGTGGGCACTCAGAAGCCAGAGGGCCCCTCGCGCAGGCTGGGGCTGCGGGAGGGCTGTGGGGCCTATGGCTTCCTGCCCCGCAGCACCTGGCTCCTGGGGGACCCTGGGCAGTGAGCCAGGCCCTGGGAGGCTGCCCGAGGGGACTGCGGGGCCAGGATTGTGATGCTGGGGGCCTCCTCTTCAGCTCATCGAGCGGTCTCCCCGCACGCTGCCACGCTCCCTCATCTACATCAGCATCATAACCTTCATCATGGGCGCCAGCATCCACCTGGTGGGCGACTCGGTCAACCACCGGCTGCTCTTCAGCGGTTACCAACATCACCTGTCGGTCCGCGAGAACCCCATCATCAAGAACCTCAAACCTGAGACGCTGGTGAGGGACCCCTCTCCCACCTTTCCCGGGCTGAACACCTGACCTCCGACCTGACTTGGGGCTAAGAGCCTCTGGAGCCACAGGTCGTGCATGCCGTGAGGGCGCGGGCGGCTCGAGGTGCCCCTCCATCTTCCCGCACACCCTCACCCTGTGGTCCCTGCCCCTCCACAGATCGACTCCTTCGAGCTGCTCTACTACTATGACGAGTACCTGGGTCACTCCATGTGGTGAGTGATGGGCCCTGGTCAGCCACCATAATGGGCACTGGCCCCTCCGGGTGGCAGGGTGTGAACTGAGGTGAGGGAAGAAGGCACCCCATTCCCTGCCAGCCTCCACCCCTGCAGTGCCCGCAGTGGCCACCAGAGGGCAGCACGTGCCTGTGCGCCCGCCCCGGCCTGCAGGGCTGCCACCCTGATCCAGGTGTCCCGGCCACCCCAAGGTGGACAGGGTGTGGGGATGAGATAAGTCCATCTCCCTGCCCCCCAACGTCACCGTGCTCTTCCAGAACGGGACGGGAGTCAACAGGGTTGAGTAGGGGCACTGCTTGCACTCCCCTCCTGGGAACCACAGGGATTCCAGCAGAGTTGGTCCCGGTTATCAGAGGGGAGACAGGAGTGCGTGGAAGCGTTCACTGCCGGGAGGGGGTAGGCACCCCAGACCTCAGGCCACCCACCCTCTGCTGCTGCTACATGCGGCATCCTTGTCCCCTCCACGCCCTCCTACTCCGACCTCAGGTGCTCCTGGCCCCGCTGCTGCCGGAAAACCTTTCCCACGGGGTGGGGCAGCTGCAGAGGGCTGGCACAAGGAAAGGGGAGTCGGGCCCTCAGGACACAAGGGGGCTGGGCTCCAGGCTGTGTGGTGGGGGTAGGGCTGCGACCCCTAATGTGGATCTGGGGGCTCCCTGTTCCGCCCTGCTGGGAAGTGTTTGGGACAGTGGCCTGCAGGATACCCCACCCCTGGCCCGCCTGCCTTGTCCCTGCCCCCGAGGCCGGCCTGGCAGGCGGCTCAGGTGCGGCCTGTTGCAGGTACGTCCCCTTCTTCCTCATCCTCTTCATGTACTTCAGCGGCTGCTTCACCGCCTGCAGAGCCCACAGCTCCCTGCCCGGGCCGGCGCTGCTGCTGCTGGGGCCCAGCAGCCTATACTACTGGTGAGTGGGGCCGGGTGGGGGCGCAGGTGAGCCTGGCTCCCCGCTGAGTCCCGGGCAGGGCATTGGCAGTGCCTCATGGTGAGCTCTTGCATCGCTGGGGCTGGGTTGGCAGAGAGTGGGGAGGATGGAGGAGGGATTGGGCAGTCTCCCTCCAGGTCCTGGAGCCCCCTCACCTCTGCTGGGACCCGTCCTCCCCACACACTCCCTTAGGACAGAGGGGATTCACTCCAACCCCAAGCCTCATCATCACGGTGGGCCTCAGTGCTCCCTTCTGTGAGATGGGCGCAATGACACCAGTGTGCCCCCCACCCCTGAGATAGTGCAGATCAGGGAAAGGGAGGGGTGCTTGTGGGCTGGACATCCACCTTGCATCTGACCGTGGGCAGAGGGGCCAAAGCCATGGCCTTGGGAGCCTCTCTCATGCCTCCGCCAGGAGTGCCCCCTGCCCAGGTCCCCACATTAGCAGGGAGCTGAGCTGACTGGGGCAGGAGGACAGCTGGGATTCAAACCAGCATTCTAACAGGGAATGGGCATCCCAGGCAGTGGCTTTACCCGCTGTGCCACTCGGCCCCTCGCCATGTTATTTCAATATTGGCCACAAACACATCTTCCTTTGGCGTGCGGGAGCTACAGCAGGCAGCAGCTCTGGGCGAGCAGCAGGGAGGGAGGCAGGATGCGGTTGCCATGGCGCCCACCGGGGCTCATCCCAAGGCGTCCCCCCAGGTACCTGGTGACTGAGGGCCAGATCTTCATCCTCTTCATCTTCACCTTCTTCGCCATGCTGGCGCTGGTGCTGCACCAGCAGCGGAAGCGCCTCTTCCTGGACAGCAACGGCCTCTTCCTCTTCTACTCCTTCGGCCTCACCCTGACGCTGGTGGCGCTCTGGGTGGCCTGGCTGTGGAATGACCCCGTCCTCAGGAAGAAGTACCCAGGGGTCATTTATGTGCCCGAGCCCTGGGCCTTCTACACCCTGCATGTCGGCAGTCAGCACTGACCCCCGGGGACTCGGCGAAGCTCGCGGAGCGCGTGGTGGAAAGATGGGTTTATTTTGATGCAAGAAAGAAGAAAAAAAGATTTTTGAAATCCATGCATATTTTTTCATAATACACATTTTCCCACAAACTTTTTGGAGAACGCTTTGTGTGACTGTGTGTGTGTCTGTGCATGGCAGGAGTGTGTCCTCTGTGTGTGTGCAGAGGGGTTCATGTGTAAGGCTTGAGAGTGTTCTGCTTGGATCTTCCCAGAATCTAATCCATTTGGGGAAGCTCCAGGCTCCTAAGCTGACATTTCCCAATAGAAGCCTGAGGGAGGGGGGAGGGCAGGTTCAGGGTGTCAGCCAACTGCCATCTGCTCCACGAGCACTGGTCTATGTGTGGTGGGCATGACACTTTGTTTCTCTGGGGCTCATGTCCCAAATGGGCAGAGGGCTGGGGGCGCTGCTGTGGGCTGAGTGCTGAGCCCCTTCCCTGCCCCTGCCACTGTCCCAGAGCCCTGCCTGAGGCCCCCGCTGTCTGTCCCTGGTCCTCCCCACACAGCCAGGGGACGCCACTGGCCTGGGTGCCTGTGGCCTCCCTCCTGTCCTGCACCCTCAGGGAGCCCTGTGTCTCGGCTGTCCTCTATGTTGGGGTCCTCCACAGCCCCCTTAGAAGTCAGTCAGCCCCTGAGCCAGGCTGCCTTCATCTCCAGGGTGGAGACGTGTGAATAAAGACTGGGATGAAGCCACACCCACTGCTGTTTGTATCTTTGAGAGTGAACTGGGGTGTCCAGGGAGGTGGTGCCTGGAGCAGGGGCAAGCCTAGCTGTTCTGGGGTCCTAGCTGGAGCCCCAAGGTTCCCTGGAGCAGCAATGGCCCTTGTGCCACTTGGTGGCCTCTGGGAGGTGGGACATCAGAAGGCCCATCCTAGCTCCTTTCAGAGGGGGCTGGGCAATCTAGTCCTGTGCTGTCTTTTTGTTTTGTTTTAAAGATGTATTTATTTTTATTGGAAAGACAGATTTAGAGAAGGTGAGACAGAGAAAAAGAATACTAATTCACTCCCCAAGTGGCTGCAACAGCCAAAGCTGAACCAATGCAAATCCAGAGCCAGGAGCCAGGAGCTTCTCCCACACGGGTGCAGGGTCCCAAGGCTTTGGACCGTCCTTGGCTGCTTTCTTGGGCCACAAGCAGGGAGCTGGGAGGGAAGTGGGGCAGCCAGGATATTAACCGATGCCACGTGGGATTCCGGCAGGGGAAGAATTGACCAATTGAGCCGTCATGCCAGGCCCACAAAAACGTATTTCAAGATGAGGTCAACATCGCCCAGTCTACATGGAGGTGAACTAGGGCTGGGGCAGGGGGCACTGTTGAGCCTATTACAGATTGGAAGCTTCCAGAAGCCTCTGTTCTGGGTCTCAGAGGTGCCAGCTGGGGGCCAGGGCTCAGCAGTAAAGGCCAGTGAGATGATAGCATCCCAGGCGGAGTCCGTGGTGTCTCCCACTGCTTGCCTGGTCCTGCTCTCCCCTGCCCCGCCCCTTTCCCACCCTGGTTTGGCTCCCACCTCAGTGAGACATCTGCAGTGTAGATGGAAGGAAGGGGAAGGTGTCAGGCAGAGCTCACATGGCCACACCCGCTGATCTGAACCCCAGTACCTAGGGGAGCACTGGGGTCCCTCCCCTCTCAAGCCCCGGACACTCTTTCACCCTCTCCATCTCTCTGGCCTCAGAAGCCGTGCTCCCTCCCCAGGTCGAGCCCAGAAGCAGGTGCAAAAATGAGAGACAGGATCTGGGATGAGAAAACCGTTCCCGCTGGGGGTGGTGGGGACAGGCTGGCCCCTGTCCTGGGTCCCTGGACACCCTGGCGGGGGGCACCCCCTGGCCAGCACCAACTGGTCCCACTAGGTGTATGGCATTCCTGGGGACCACTCACGACCCTGGTGGGAGCGGAGGGGGAGTGCCCTAGCCACATAGATGATGCCTTAGCAACACAGCAGCTCCGGGCAGCAGCCCCACCCTGCCGCTTCCCCCTTGGGGGAGGGGCACAGCACAAAGCACTGAAGCCCGCTGGGGGCTGTGGGTCCAGCCCAGGCACCTGCCCAGCCCAAGCCCAATGGTACACTGGCCTGTTCGTTCTTCCAAGGGCCCTGTCAGGAGGCCTGGTGGAGAAACTGAGGCAGAGAAGTGATAAATGACTCCCAGGGCATCGGGCCAGCGGGCAGGCTTGGCACTCCAGCCGGGCTTCCTTGTGCAGAGCCTTCCCCAAGGGCTGTGGAAGCCCAAGCTTCCTGCAGCTGAACCCACCTAGGCCCCCTGGGCTAGGCGCCAGGGACAGTGTGTGCAGTGCGCTCCGGAACCCCCAGCTGCAAAGTGCGCTGTGTCAGCAGAAGGCAGGGCCCAGGGCCAGTTACCTCTCAGACCCCTTTTCTGGACGCAGGGACCCCACGAGGCAGCCCTGGCCTTGGTCGCTGGGCTCAGAGCATCAGTATCCCCAGTGAGACCCCTTGAGTCCCAGAAGCCCTGTTTCCTGCAAACCCACACCCGTCCAGCCGGCAGGGCCTCCGGCTGGAACTGGAATCTGACCCCAATGGCACAGGTCCCGGTCTCCATGGCAGCCGGGAATCTATTACCACCAAGGCCTCCGCCCAGCCGCCCGGACTTTCGACTTGAAGCTGGAGGAAGACCGCCTGTTGAGGAAGCAGCATTCGGAGCCCCGGCGATGGTGCGTGGGGGTGGGGGCTGGGGCTGCAGAGGGGCACCCCCATCGAGCGGGGTCTACCCTGACTGCGGCCCTCTCTCTCTCCACTACAGGCCAAGTTTCTCTCCCAGGACCAAATTAATGGTACGTGGGTTTGTTCTGTAAGAAGCCACAGAATGTGGGTTGCTTTAGGTAGCCTGGCTGAGGGCAGGCAGGCAGGCGTCCGTGAAGGGCTGGGCCCACCCATGAACGAGGGACCGCGCTGCGGGGCAGAGGGGGTCAGCTTCAAAGGCCAGAGTACTGCTGCTTATTTCTTGGTGAGATTTACAAGCCTGGGGGAGGAGAGAGTGGCATGGGTTTTCCTCTGAGAGCTGCTGTGTGGGATGTGGAGGAAGATGGGCTGAGATGAAGAGAAGGGCTCAGTAGCTCCTGCGGCCAGCCTGCTCTGGGCCTCCCTCTCCCCATCTGTGAAATGGAGCGAGGGCAGCTGAGGGCCCCTGCACCGCAAGTCTGGGCTCTGAGCACTTTATGCTCTGGGCCCCCGGATCACCCGTGTCTAGGCAGGCTTGGGTTTCCTGCAGTGCTCAAGTCTGTTATCTCAAGAGGAAGGGATTGGGTTACGAAGGGGGTGGGGGAAGCCCAGATCCAGGCCACGGGAATCTGGTGCCACAGCTTCAGGGCTCCTGGCAGGGGAAAGTCTGAGCCCTGGCGGAGTCTCAGGAGGCCAGCATGGGCCTGAGGCTGCGGCCCACACATGCCACTGCCCGGCTCACTGCTGAGATGTCACTTGCTCAGCAGCCAGAGTAGGGTCCCACAGCTCCTGGAAAGGACTTCGTTCAGGTCATTGAATAAGGGTTCCAGAACCCTAGGTACCCAGATCTTGGTAGAGAAGGGCATGGGGATGGAGAGTGAGATGGGAGCACTACAGATGGGCATGTCACCTCACCTGCATGAACAGGGCCCCCTTGTGGTCAGCACGTGAGGTGACACTGAACGGCCGCCTCCCTGCCAAGGGCCAGCTCTCAGCCTCAGCATCCCCCACCCTCACCTGGTTCGCAGCCCCCCTCCTGGGACCTCTGAAGAAGGCAATTTCTCTTTGCATCCTATTGTCTGACAGCAAAATAGAGTGCTTTCCTTTATAAGGTTTATGATTTTTATTATTTGAAAAGTAGAGTTAGAGAGAAGAAGAGACATATAGAGAATGAGGTCTTCCATCTGCTGGTTCACTCCCCAGAATGGCTGCAATGGCCAGAGCTAAGTATGTCTGAAGCCATGAGCCTGGAGCTTCTTGCAGGTCTCCCACATGGATGCAGGGACACAGGCACTTGGGCCATCCTTCACTGCTTTCCCAGGCACATTAGTGGGGAATTGGACCCAAGTGGAGCAGCAGGGACTTGAACCGGTGCCCAGGAGAAATGCTGACACCGTGGGTGGAGGCTCAGCATGCTGTGCCACAACACTGGCCAGAAAAGACCGCTTTCTACATGTGATGTTGCACAGGGCAGCTTACTGCAACGAGAACAACAGGGGCTTCGGGAGTCTCCCCCATGGGGTCCAGTCAGCTTGTGGACTCCATTTTCTCATCTGTGGAGTAGGGTTTATGATGCCACTTCACCAGGCTGCTGGGAGCTGGGGACTGAGGAGATGGCGTCAGTGGCGCCCTTGACATTGGGCCAGACATGGCCGGAAAGTGGAAGGCACCCACAAGTGTGCAGTGACTGGCTCGCACCAGCCAGCAAGAGCCACGTGTCTGGGAGAAGGTCTGGTGGCTGAAGTCAGGCGCCCTTCCACAGTGGAACACCAACCGCGCAAGCAGCAAGCCCCTCGCATACGTCACTGCTATCAGTACTGCGGATCCACAAGACGCTTCTGCTCGGTTAATATGCTTTTATTTCCTATTTTAAAAAAGAAGAAGAAGAAGAATTGGGGCCTGGAATGATGGCTAAATCCTCACCTTGCAAGGGCCAGGATCCTATGTCCCGTCTGCTCTACTTCCCATCCAGCTCCCTGTTTGTGGGCAGCCCTCTCAGGCCTCGTAATGTGATTGACAGCATGGCTCCTCCTGGGCCGGGGTGGGGAGAGCAGTTTTTGCACCTGGTCCCCATCCCCTGGGAGCAAAGGCTCTGTCTGTTCTGGAAAGGGAGGTGTGCAAAACTGCTGGGGATTGGAGGGTGGTAATGAGGGGGCTTCCCGTTTGGCCTCTCTGCAAGGGTCTCCTACCCCGCTGGCTGGCTGCCTTTACCTGGCGATCCCTGAATCCTGGGCAGGGAAGGCTGCTGGGGAGCCCCAGGCTCGGGGACCTGGAGACTTTGCCTCTTCTCCTCTTCCCTGCCCCTCTGGTGGTGTCTGCTCTGGAATGGGGGCAGTGTGGCCTGGTGGATGGTGTGCATCTGTGGGAGCCAGGCCCATTGGCCTCCTTAGGGAATCAACTGGGATTGGAGCAGAATTACTTGCTCCTGACAGTAGCCTCAATGTCTGCATTGCTGGGTGGCAAGGATGCTCCCAACTTCCTGACTGTCCTGAGCTTGCTCCACTGGGTGGCGCTGCTGAGCTGGAGGCTGCAGTGCAGGGAAGCCACTTCCTTGCCACCCAGCACCTGCTATAATGATAACCATTATGACGGTGGTGGTAATGGTGATGGTGGTAGTGGTGGTGGAGGTGGTGGTGGTGGTGGTGATGATGGTGGTGGTGGTGGTGATGATGGTCGTGGTGGTGGTGGTGATGATGGTGATAATCGTAGTGGTGGTGTTGGTGGTGTTGGTGGTGATGGTGATGATGATGGTGATGGTGTTGGTGGTGATGGTGATGGTGGTGGGAGTGATGATGGTCGTGGTGGTGGTGGAGGACTGGGGTTGTAATGGTGATGATGACAGTGATGGTGATAGTTGACAGTCACCATGTAAGGGCGCCTCACTCAGCCTGGCCATGTAGAGGGGATTTCTGGCCCTCACAGTAATCCAGGGCCTCCCAGCCTCTGTCTCCTGGGAACTGTGCTGCTCCTGGCCCCATCAGGGTTGGCGTTTCATTCCTTTGTGGGAAGGAGGTGTAAGAGAAGGAGGGGAAGAGGTAGGGTCACCAGATAAAATACAAGACGCCAGCTGCATTTCAGATAAGACTTTCAAGACTTTGTATGCATTTATCTGAGACAGCAAGAAAGCGTGAGCTCCCTGTTCCTCTGATTCACCTTCTAAAATGCTTGCAAAGGATTTTCTGTGGATGTGGCGGCAGAAACCCCACCCTAACCCTAACCCATCACCCCTGCCTCCCGGACTCTGCATTAGCAGGAAGCTGCGCACTGAGCCAGCACTCCCACACAGCCTGCAGCGTCCTAACTACTAGGCAGGATCCCCACTGCCCCCGCTATTGGGGATATAGGTACACCCCCAAATTTGGCATATACTTGTGCTGCAGATGTGTTCATGGTCTTCTCTGAAGTCAATTTGACTTGGCAGTTTTGTTTTCCTTCGCTGTATCTACCAACACTGGGGGAGGAGGAGGAGGGAGGGGGCGGGCCAAGGGACAGAGGAGGGGAGAGGAGGATGGGGTGTAACTGACCCCCCCACTTCTGGGATGTGTGCAGAGTACAAGGAGTGCTTCTCTCTGTACGACAAGCAACAGCGGGGCAAGATGAAAGCTGCAGACCTCCTGGTGGCCATGAGGTGCCTGGGGGCCAGCCCGACCCCAGGGGAGGTGAGGCGCCACCTGCAGACTCACGGCATAGGTGAGTGACGGGGAGGGGCTGACGGGGTAGCAGGGCAGGGAGGGGTCCCCCTGTGATCGCCAGGTCCCTGACTGAGAATCACCACCAGGGCGGAGTCTGCCCATGCCTACAAAGCTGGCAGCGTGCTAATCCGTGTCGCTGGCCAGAGCTGAGCTTCCCAGCCACTGAAGGAGCCCGCTCGGGTTCTTGTGCCAATCGTGGGATCAGGATTGGAATTCCGTTCTTCCGATTTCAAAGACTGACCTAAAAACTTTGTAGAACTGCCAGAAAAAAAAAAAAAGCCTGGGAGAAAAGCCACCTGGAACACCATCCCCAGGTGGCTCTGAGGACACTGTGCTGGTGGTGGCATGGCAGGAGCAAATCTTGATTCGCGCTTTTTTTTCCTTAAAAAAAAAAAAACCTTGTTGTTTCCTGTGAGTTTTTTTTTATTTTTTAAGAAAGATTTATTTTTATTGGAAAGTCAGATATACAGAGAAGAAAATCTTCCGTCCGATGACTCACTCCCCAGGTGGCTGCAACAGCTGGAGCTGCGCCAATCCAAAGCCAGAAGCCAGGAGCTTCCTCCAGGTCTCCCAAGCGGGTGCAGGGTCCCAAGGCTTTGGGTCATCCTCAAGTGCTTTCCCAGGCCTCAAGCAGGGAGCTGGAGGGAAGCAGGGCCACTGGGACACAAACTGGCGCTCATATGGGATCCCAGTTTGTTTAGGGCGAGGACTTTAGCCACTTGGCTACTGCACCAGGCCTGTTTTGAGTTTTCAACGACAATGACACAGGGAGACTTCACAAAGTTAATGGAAAAGGAATTCAAGGAGATTCATTTTTTAAAAAAGATTTATTTTATTTTCATTGGAAAGGCGGTATACAGAGAGGAGAGACAGAGAGGAAGATCTTCTGTCCGATGATTCACTCCCCAAGTGAGTGCAACAGCCGATGCTATGCCGATCCGAAGCCAGGAGCCTCTTTCCGGGTCTCCCACGCAGGTGCAGGGTCCCAAAGCTTTGGGCCATCCTCGACTGCTTTCCCAGGCCACAGGCGGGGAGCTGGATGGGAAGCAGGGTCGCCGGGATTAGAACCGGCGCCCATATGGGATCCCGGGCATGCAAGGCGAGGACCTTATCCACTGCGCCATCGCGCTGGGCCCAGGAGATTCATTTTTGATGCCACAAAAATATTGAAATCCACACATTTTATCATTTTCCATGACCATTTTGAAAAGCCTTCTTGTGAGGGTTTTCTAATCAGAAACAACCATGTTTGGTTCCTTTTTTTCTTGACCCAGGAGAATGGAGTGGTCCAGTGGAGGGGCCAGCTGCCTGCTGTGGGGGCTGGATGCTCAGGAAGGAGGGCTGGTCTTAGAGAAGGATGGGTGCTTGCTCTTGACCCAGAGGCCAGAGGCCAGGCCTTCTCTGTCACACAGGTGCCCATTGCCTGCTGAGAGCTCCAGGAGCGGCCTGGGTTGCAGGGAGGTGGGAAGGCCAGTGGAGCCGGCTCCTGAGGGTCTGGAGCTCCAGGGAGAGGGTGTTCAGGGCTGTGATTTCCAAAGCCCCATCCTCCCCATTGCCAGTTAAGGGGAGTAGCTTCCCGACATGTGCCAGGGAGCCACACCAGGGTGGGGTGGAGGGAAGGTCCCTGGCCTGGCTGGAGCTTGCAGAGCCCAGAGGAGGAGTGAGGGTAGAGTCTGGGATGGCGGCTCCAGGGAGGGCAAGGGCAGGTGCACAGCGTAGTCCCACCAGGGGCCGCCCGTGGCATCCTGGGCGATGTGCCCTACGGGCTACTCAGCAGTAGCTGTCCTGCAGTTTAGCACTAGAGGGCGCTCTGATCTTGCCCCTGCCTCTAGAGCATTAAGCCAAAGGGGTGCCAGTCACTGCAGTCACTGTGGATGGCTGGGGGGGTGGGGGAGTCCAGGAGGGGCCTCCGGAGCAATCCTGTGCTTCCCTCCCTGTGGCCGCTGCCAGCACCTCCACAGCCGGCCTTGGCAGTGAGGGTGCCAGGAGGCCAGCTGGCCGCTTCTTCCCTCCCCCTTGACCACCCTTGCGGGTCTGGGGTCCCACAGGCAGAGACGGCGAGCTGGAGTTCTCCACTTTCCTGACCATGATGCACATGCAGATCAAGCAGGAAGACCCCCAGAAGGAGATCCTCCTAGCCATGCTCATGGCGGACAAGGAGAAGAAAGGTTACCTTCCGGCCGCCGAGCTGCGCTCCAAGCTCACCAACCTGGGCGAGAAGCTCACGCACAAGGAAGGTAGGGGCTGGGGCCCTGCAGGCAGGGCTGTGTTGGTTGGGGCGTGGGGGCCAGGTCTGTGCCGTGGCAGTGGGCATCGTGTCGGACTAGGTGTGCACGCAGCACTGGGGCCCTGGGGAGTGGGAGTGGGGGAAGTGAGGAGCTAACCAGGATGTCTGGCTTGGGCTGGTGGGCTTTCCTTTAGGAAGGGGGACCTCTTGAGAGCAAGAGGGTCCACTCCTACTGATGGAAACAGGGAGTGGGGATGGAGGGGCGGGGGAAGGGAATGGGCAGCTCCTGCAGGACTGGGGGTGGACGCAGGTCTGTAAGACACCCCTGACTCTGGCCTTGCCCCGGAGCTGTCCCTGGGGTGGTTGTTGATGCCCACAGCCTGCCGGTTAAGATGCTACTTGGCTCTCGTTCCTCCTGGCCCAGGAAGGCCTGGCACCGCAGGGGCTTTGCTGGGATGGCTCGGGAAAGGGGGGATTCTGGTTCCCAGAGCCCCCAGTGATCCGGGTCTGGCACGCTTGCCTGCAAGGCTCTGTGCAGCCTGCTGAGCCGTCCACAGTGTTCTTCCAGCCTGCCGGGCACTGTTGCAGACCCCACGTCCATCAGCCCCTCCCTCACCTCCCCACCCCCTCCACCTGCAGTCTGGGTTTGCCAGGACAGCCGCTGGGCTGCCTCTGAGGCCACAGGTGGGAGCAGGCAAAGGGCGGCTGCTGGCCTTATGCTTAAGGGCCACTGAGGGCAGGGCTTGGGGTTGTGGTTTGTGTCAGGGTCGCATCCTGGCTGGCCTGTTCTGAGGACTGCAATGGCTCTGGCTGTACTTCCAGGGAGGCATGTTCCACGAGCGAGCGCTCACCTTCTGCAAAGCCTGCTCACACTGGCCCCTCGAGTCCCTGCTCACACTGGCCCCTCGGGTCCCTGCTCACACTGGCCCCTCGGGTCCCTGCTCACACTGGCCCCTCGGGGTCCCTGCTCACACTGGCCACTCGGGGTCTCTGCTCACACTGGCCACTCGGGGTCCCTGCTCACACTGGCCCCTCGGGTCCCTGCTCACACTGGCCCCTCGGGGTCCCTGCTCACACGGGCCACTCGGGGTCCCTGCTCACATTGGCCACTCGGGGTCCCTGCTCACATTGGCCACTCGGGGTCCCTGCTCACACTGGCCCCTCGGGGTCCCTGCTCACACTGGCCGGTTCGGGGCTCCTGCTCACACGGGCCGCTCCGGCTGGCAGCCAGCCCCGCCTCGCCCTTCCCGTTGGCTATTCTCAGGGCAGAGGGAAAAGCTGGCGGGTCTCTGCTAAGCTGTCTGGGTAGTACAGGTGGTGGGTGGCAGAAGGACCTACCCTGGGCTGAAACAACTCCATGGCTCCCAGACTCTTGCACGTCTCTCATCTGTGTAAACAGTAAAGGAGTTCTCAGAAACAGGGGTTCCAGAAAAGCAGGGGGCCGAAAGGGCAGTCCTTCTCTAGGACTTAGGGTTTCGGCAGGAAGATGGAGGAAGGCACCGTCAGACTGCAGCTGCGGGATCTGCAATGCGATTACCCGTGTTTGGGACCGGAAGAGCTGCAGGGTTGGACACTGGGGCTGGCTCGGGACTTGTCCCCCTGCCGCACCCCCGGGCTGCCTGCTGGCCAATAGGAGCTTCGCCTTGCAATAAGATGAGGCACAGCCTGAGTTTCTAAAAATACTCCACACTCCCGCCGCCCAGGCCATTCAGCCCAGTAATTGGGCCCCAAGGGGCGTGGCCAAGCCTGGCATCTCAGAGCATTTTCCACCTGCCTTGGAGGATGTCCCTGGGGCTGGGATCAACCCAGGCAAGGGAACATGGTCCAGCTTTGGGTGGGCAGGTGTTGGCGGACGGGGGATGAGGACGGCCCCCAGGGGCAGGAGCTGTGTGGGGCAGCAGGAGCTGAGACAGCCCATTCTTGTTGCCAACACCTGGGACAAACTGGCATCTTGCTCCAGGACTCCACGACACAAGAAAAATTTAGCACAACAGAACAAGAGCCATGTTGTATGCCTTAAGCTCCAGACCCACTTGGATTTAGTTTTCTCTCATAATATTCTCAAGTCCAAGACACTTGAAAAAAAAAAAAAAAGAGTGAGAGACCATTCTTGTCACTCAACCCTGTTGTGGTGGGGGCAGAGGGACAAGGCTGATGGGGAAGAGACTAGGAAGGGCCAGCGTGTGAGGGCCAGGCCAGCCTGGAGCTGGCCTCTGGGAGGGGCCATGGACACACACGGCACAGCGGTGACACCTGTTTGGGATGCCTGCCCCCATCCTGCATTGCAGGGGAATCAGTCACGGCTCTGCCTGCTAACACGCCCTCCGCCCTGGGAGGCAGCAGGTGAGGCTTCAAGGATGGGGCCCCTGTCACCCATATGGGAGACCTGGGTAGAGTTCCAGGCCCAGCTGATGCAGGCATTTTGAGGAGCAAACCAGCAGAGGGGAGACTTTTTCGCATTTCTCTGTCTTCTTTGCAAATAAACAAAATGTATTTTTAAAGGTTTCTAGAAGTCCAGGCAAAGGGGGTCAGATATTTTCTTTATGGCAAAAAGCACAGCAAGGCCTGCGGGACCCATTCCTCCCCCATGGGCCTTGCTCCCCTACCCCAATTCCGGCAGAAAGCCCAGCTGTCTCAAAATGCAGCCCAGGGGGCCCTGGTGTGTTTGAAGTGGTCCCTTACTTCCTGTCTGTACTCCGAGGAACCCAAACTCTCCAAGCAGAGCAAGTTGTTTACCATGTCCCCCCAAAGCACCACTAAGCGGTTCCTGGGGTTCATTGCAGTGGACGAGCTCTTCAAGGAAGCGAATATCGACCCGAACGGCCAAGTGAAGTACGAGCAGTTCATTCCCAGGATCACGCTTCCTCCACGGGACTACTGAGCGCAGAGCGTGCGGCACAGCGGGACCTGCGCACCTGGAGCCACGCGGCAAGGCAGCGGAAGCAGCAGGTGCTGTAGCCCACCTGCGGCAAAGGCAACGCTAATAAAGGATTCCAGCAGTGGCTTTGGCATGTCTTTAGTAAAAGGTTGCGAATGAGCTAAATAACTTCTGTAAGTCCAGCTTGGGCCATGCAGAGGCTCGTTTGGGAAACCAGCCTGGGCTGTGATCCCGGCTGAGCTGATGCCCAGCTTGTGACTTCGGGCAAGCCTCTTCGCTTCTCGGAGGCTCTCAGGTGCCCTTTCTCCCATCAAGGATCATGGTGTGTGTCAGAGCGGCAGACTCCACAGGCTCAAACAACGGAGCAGGCACCTTGGAGATGTCCAAGCCCAGCTGGAAGGTTGTAGAGGCACGGTTGGGGATTTGCAGTCACTAGCGGGGTGCAGACACTGCTGGGTGGGGCGGTCTCCTACCCAGTAGTCAGCCAGGAGACTTGCAGGCCCTACCTGTCCTTTTGTTGACTGTGCCCTGGGCTGTGCCTCCAGCTACTTCTCCAGCACTGCTGGGGAGAAGTGGGGAATGTGATGGGCCAGAGCCCTGAACTTGCGGGGGGTGGGGAGCAGTGCTATTCTCCTTACATGGCTTCTGGTGATCCCAGGCTGCTACTGCCCAGGACCCGGAGGTGCTCCTGTACCTGTAAAAACCTGCAGATTGCCATTGCTGTCAGCAGAGCCCTAAGAAGGACGGGGGACAGGGGCACACATGGTAGGGGTGCAGGTAGATTCTCCTGGTGACAAAACTGGGCTCTCTGGGGTGGAGCAAAAACAAGTTCATGGAGAGGTGCGTTTGTGGGCAGGACCTACAGAAGACACAAACCCTAAACTGAGGCCCGGGCGCAGGGAAAACTGCTGGGGCGCTGCCGCGTGGCCCTGGGTCACTCTGTGGTGCAGAGGAGGGAAACATCGTTTTGCCAACAGTGCCATTGCCACAGGAGTAAGAGCTCCTAGGGAACTGCAAGAAGGTTTTGGGTGGGGGAGGGGTAGGCAGCAAACGTCTCCAGTGCTTAGGAGGTCAAGTGTGATGTGGCTCGTCATACAGGAGGACATTTGGGGACCTACGTGATCAGGGGGAGCCGGCATTGTGGTGCAGCACACTAAACTGCTGCCTACCCACGTGACTGTCCCCATCCAGGTTGCCACACTGTCAAGCTAAGATGCTTGGGAAAGCAGCAAAGGATGGCTTGATTGCAGGTCTGGCTGGAGCTCCAGGCTCCCGGCTTGGACCTGGCCCAGCCCTGGTTGCTGTGGATGGAAGCTCAGTCTCTTCCCGTCCCGTGGTTTATCTGGCATCTGGTGTCATTTACTGAAGGGCCTTTGCACGGCAGACACTCAGCGGATTCACACTCACACAGATGCCATGGCTCACGAGCAAGCTGGCACCCGGGCAGGGCAGGAGGGTGGGCTGTTAGCGACCCGCCTCGGAGCAGCAGTCAGTGGCCACGCTCTGGGGTCTCAGGACGTGGCACACTGCAGGAACAGGCCGTTAGCTGCTCGGGCACCCAGCGGTGTCACTTCACAGACGACAAATTAACTGAAGGCTTTTCTTTTATTACAGCTAAAGAGCTCTACATAAACAGGTAACATTCAATAGGTAAACAATTTTTTTTTCCAATGCATGTAATAAATATTTTCACTTGGTACTTTTATACAAACTGACAGTGGTCTACTATACATTTCTTTTTAAAAGCCATTTTACTGGTTTGGCATGCGGTATGGAAATTCTAAGAGAGAAAGTTTTAAGGCAATGAATCACAGATTTAAGTTCATGGAATTTATGGTAGCTTTTATATCTGTTTATATACATTTTCCCCTTTGTTAATTAAACAATTAACAGCAGCACACTCTGGGACCACCAGCTATTCTTTCTCCTGCTCTCTGAAAATCTAAGCTTTGTGTTTAACTAAAAATAAAAGTTCAACATGTATTATTAAAACAAAATTCTTACTAAAATAATTTCAAATGTGCTTTAAGAAGTCCTGAAGATCTTGAATGTTGTATGTACTTAAAATTGTTATTAAAAGTAACATTCCTTCCACATTTTACAATTTACAAGTGGGACATACTCAGATTTCAGATATTTGACTCAAAGGAAAGCCTGGCAAGCAGTCACAATGTTCTGAAGCTGAAGTGACGTCTCCCAAGTCAGTGACGACACAGACCTGTGCAGTCCAGAGGAACAGAAACCAGAATCCCACGCTCAGCAATAAATCAATAACCAGGATGTGGCATGGTTTAGGTTCAGCCTGCTATTCTTTTTTAAAAAGATGTGTCCAATAATGCCCACAACGTTAAGTGAAGCCACTTCAACCCTGCCAGTCTGTGCACAGCTCTCCATTCACGCATGTGCGGATATCCAACACCGCAGAGACAGACGCTTGACCAGAGCAAGGGGGTGGCAGGAGGTCACCCCAAGGTACTGACGGTCACTGCTCGTCACCAACACAGCGGGCATGGGGAGTGAGGCGGCGGGGGACGGTGAGCTAAGGAAGAAGAGATGAAGGGACAAAATGCTATCTTATTGAAAACTTAGGAGATAAAGTCGTAGTGCAGGCTCTACTAAGGATCACTAACAGACCGCGCACGTCTGATGGGCTGATGTGGGAAGGGAGACCAACTGGATGGGAACTATCATTTCATGTGCCATTACGGAAAGCAGACTCCTCACACAGTGGAATGAACACAGAAGGCCATGACGGTGAGTTTCTCCCGTGGGGCTGTGGCCGAAGCCACTAGATGGCATGTACTACTTCTGCCTGTCACCTGCTTCCCTAGGTGGACACAGGGCAGGACATGGAGGGAGACTGACCCTCCCTCCTCCGTAACAAGAACTGGACTGGAGCAAGCAGAGGGCCGTGTTTGCAGCCGAATCATTCAAAGAACGTAATTCAGCATCATACACGAAATTATTGATCAATTTGGAGAACACTAATGACCAAAAATGAAAAGAATGAGTAAAGGGAACTACTCCTTTTACCTTATGTAGCTGAATTAAAAGATGCTATGGTTCCTACTGTAACATAAAATTGGAAACAACCCCCCACGATTTTAGTACATTCTCCTCCAACCCAAATTCAGCTTTAAGAGTTATGATATTAGAAATTAACTTCAATGAGAGTTCTTAAAGTGTCGATTCGCCCTAATACAGATTTCTGTAAAACGATTGCTTGTTGTAACTGACGGTGGCAGGTTCGTTCCTGAGGACAAGCGGCCACCTCTGTGTGGAATACACATGCGGAAGGGGCAACTATGGAGCTCATTTGTTACTCACACACTCACACTCGTTTATAAATACACATATATACACACACACATATACATATCAACACCAACTTTGTTTTTCAAAATTCAAGTCAACAACTTAGTAGCAGAGATGCTGTAAAAACATTGTTTTTAGATGCCACACACTCATGAACCTTATCACACAGCTGAAGACACAGCCATCTTGAAGTCTACTTGGGTTAAAGTAGGTCATTTTGTTATCAGCGTGAGATCTGAAAAGACAAGTTTATACATAAAGGTGGTCCTTCATCAGCTCTGATCACATCAACAGCTGGGATACAGAAAACCCGGTCTGGGAACTCCACCCTTCCATTAGCCTTTTTTTTGTTACACCTACACTTTCAGTCAGCTGAAAGACACTGCCCATGGCGGAAGCCATCATGCTTTCCCCAACGAGGACGTTGGAACACACGTGCAACCACTTTTCCTGCCCCCCCAGCCCTTACTCATCTCCTTAAAACAGTTTTCAATATTTACATGTTCCATTAGTAAGGGCAGATCAGACTGATGCACCAATGACATGCTTGTCCATGACATGCCTGTCATGAACAGATAAAGGAAACATGAACCAGGCAGACACACTAAGTACTCTCAGAACCAGTGAGAATGACCAAGGATGAAATCCACTCTGAAGTCGCAACTGCTTATCCAACAGACTCCCCCAGAAGGACATGGTGGTACTCTACATCTCCCTAACGGAATTCACTTTCAGGATAACTGACTCTTCTTTCTCTCTGAGGTGACGAAATCTTACCTCCATGGCACCTGCCACCCATCAGGACTTCCTACTTTGGCATGAAGAACTTCCGTGAACACCTGTTATCCTGTGGCCAGATGAGCAGGCATTCACAGACTTGGTGGGAACACACAAGACTGGCGATTCAGGTTGGGGACCCTCGACTAGGTCTGCCAAGCCCACTCCTCACCCAGACGGCCCGACTCCACTGTCTCTACGGGGCAAAGGGGAGGGAATGCGTCCAGGATGAGAACATGCAACTGGCAAGGCTGAGAAAAGAGGCTCGGGCGGGAGTTCAAGACCTTCAAAGCATTTAAAAGACACAGGCGACTGATGTGTGAACTGAGTACAAACTTGGGAGGAGAGGGCACAGGAATGACAGAAAAATACACACGGCCACACACACGGGACACACGCGCACACAAGCTATGTCCTGGAAATACATGGGAATGCAGTGGGACAGATGAAACTTATAACTTAAGGCTGGATAAAATGAATATGCACGCACGCGCGTGCGTGCGCGCACACACACACACACACACACACACACACAGAATCCAAGTGTGTCACTTTTAGAAAATGGAAATCAAACTATCCCCCCCACACCCCTCCCACAACAAAGCCCACAATTTAAAACTTCATACATGCAATTCCTTTTCTGTTATTGCAAATAAAATAATGCCATTGAAGTAAAATAAAACCAAAACTGGAGGACAAATGATGAAAAATCTTCAGAATCCAGAAAAACAATGAACTGAAGGTGGTTGTGGGTGCTTGTTTTTTCTCTTTTCTTTTTTTTTTTTTTTAATAAGTGTTTATCAGACAGGCAGTCTTAGATTTATATACAAAAGTAAAACTGAAAATATAGTTTTGTTCTCTGTACATTTCTTTTTAATTTTTTCCCTAAAAAAAGGAAAAAAAAAAAAAACCACGCTGTGTACTTCTCTAAACAGAATAAGGTAAAACAGAGCACGAAGTTCTCTTCTTTCTGCCGAGTTCATGGGCTCCGGGCTGCAGACGGCCGCGGCAGAGCCCGGGGCTCAGTCCAACGAGATAATGTCCGGGATGATGCCGAAGATGGATGCTGTGTCCGTGCCGCTCCTGCTGGCCACTGTGTGGCTGTGGCTCTCCCTCAGGCTGTTGGAGGACACAAGGCTGCTGTTGCTGCCGCTGCTGCTCCCGTTGGTGGTGGGCAGAGAAGTGCTGCCTCCTGCGCTTAACTGATCGAGAAACATCTGCGAGGAGGCGTACGGAAAAAACCTTGACGAGTGCAGGAGGTCCTGATCGTCTGAGACGGCGGCGGCGGCGGCGGCCAGCAGGGAGGTGTTGTAATGCTAGGGAGGGGAGGCAAAAGCCAAGACATGTCAATCACACTGCCCTTAGCACCTGCCCTGCCCTGAAGACTACGGTCCCGCTTCTGAAACACTCCCACGGTCGGCTGTGCCTGAGGTCTTTACAAAACACTGCACAAATCCAATGGCCTCATGTGACAGCTAAATGACTGGTCTGGAGAGATGTTTTCATATCTGAAACTGTAGAAAACACTTAAAGGCTTGTTTTTTTTAAAAAAATATATTTTAATAACACTTACAATATATACTGTAAGGCTATATAAAAACTTTTCTTCTTGGGCCCGGCGCGGTGGCACAGTGGTTAAGGTCCTCGCCTTGCATGCCCGGGATCCCATATGGACACCGGTTCTAATCCCGGCAGCCCCGCTTCCCTTCCAGCTCCCTGCCTGTGGCCCGGGAAAGCAGTCGAGGATGGCCCAACGCTTTGGGACCCTGCATCCACGTGGGAGACCCGGAAGAAGTTCCTGGATCCTGGCTTTGGATTGGCATAGCATCGGCCATTGCACTCACTTGGGGAGTGAATCATCAGACGGAAGATCTTCCTCTCTGTCTCTCCTCTCTGTATATCCGTCTTTCCAAATAAAATAAAATAAATCTTAAAAAAAAACTTTTCTTCATATCCTTAGCATATTTTTTAAAAACCAAGTATTTAAAAGACTTTTTGGTCGAAGGCAAACATATATGAGCTTCAGCCATGAACAAGGCCAGGACCACGGACATCCTGTGCCCACCTCTTGTCCCCCGTAGAAGGCCAGCAGGGCAGAGGTCTTGTGGCACCATGGCCTGCCTCTGGAATACCCCCGGACTCCTGAGGTGACGAACACAGTCCATGCCGAGTTGCCGGGCTGGTCTGTTTGCACAGGCTGGCTCCTGGCAGGCTGCGCTGTGAACATTCTTCTCCAGAATGAGAAACCTCCCCATGTCAGGGTCTGTGCTGGCAAGCCTCTTCAGGAGCCTGGTGGGGGCTGCAAAACCTCCTGCTCAACCATCACTGTGAGCTGCCTTGATACTTGCTGTCTTTTCGCTTGCCTCTTCTTTACCAGTGCACTTCTAGTCCGGCTCAGTGAAACTGCCTCAGCAGTTGGTTCCCCAGGACCCGCTCTCAGCCGTCAGCAGGGGAAAGCCTTTTGTCATCTCAACCAGAGCCTTGCTGGTTTTTACAGCCTCCTCAGTGCTAGTAAATCTTTTCAAGTCATGGGTCAATCTCTTCCAGATGCCAATCCTCTAACTCCTGGGGACACCATGTCAGGTCCAAGCAGTCACAGGTGTTGTAGTCATTAGTGTCCCCGCACCCGTGCACCAGCCTGGGGAAGGGTCTCCCTCAGGGAGTGGGCCTTATAAATCTTGATCCATCAGCCAACGCTTTGGCAAAGTGAGATAAGTTGCCACCTGTGTTATTGGCATGCCATTCCAGTACTGGTTCCTGGTCCTGGCTGCTTCACTTCCTATCCAGCTCCCTGCAAATCCACCTGGGAAAGCAGCAGAAGATGGCCCAACGTGGAGAGACCTACACCATGTAGCAGGTCCAGAAGACAATCCTGGCTCCTGGTTTCAGACTGACCCAGGTCCAGCTGTAGTGGCCATGTGTGGAGTGAAATGGATGGAAGACCTCTCTGTGTCTCCTCTCTCCAATTCTGCCTCCAATAAATAAAATAAATCTTAATCCATTGGTTGTATCAATGAGGTGAGCCTGGAGGAAGAAATAGTACTTTCATTTCAGGATGAATATCATCACAAAGAAAGGGAGATGGAAATACTATCAACAGTAAATGACACCCTGAAGGGTGTGTGATCCTTTTATTTTACTTTATTTTTGTTGATGTTTACATAGTTGATCGGGAGGAAAGGATTGAGGGATAGAGAAAAGTGCATGTGATCATTATTTCCAAATTTTCTATTTCTTTTTCCTATTTCTGAGAGAAGGGAGACAAGGGGAAGAGCCATACACGCCTCCCAACTGCCCCAATGTGGCACATGCTCCCAGGGTTCTGGCCAGGTGGCTTGGGTAGTTCTGAAATGCTCCCAATCTCACTGATCCATGGCTGAGGAATCCCTTTCAGTGTCCACTGGCTGGCAAAGTTGACCTTACAGTCTCCATTCAACCAGATATTTGCTGTCATCATTTGGCTGGGGTAGTCATCCCAATTTCTTCTGTTCACATTCTTCTGCTATGGTCCAGATGTCCTCTGCAGGCTCTAATGGGCTGCCGCATCCTCCATGTGCATCAGGGCCTGCTGTCCACTGCTCTGTCTTTTCCACCAAGGGCCAGTTCTTGCACACAGAGCCAAAATCCGGGTCAGGCGGCCCTGGCCGCAGAGGACCCCCGCCCTGGGGCTCAAGGGCGTGTGATTCTTTACACTAGGCCTCTCCATTGCACTGGCACAGCCATTCAGGAGGGCACACTGTTTCCAGGTATATCCATTCTTCAATGTGGATCTTACTGCCAATGTCAACAATGGGTTTCTTCACTTAGGAATCATAGTGAACAAAGCACATGAAACTAAATCAAACTCATGGGAGAAGGGTGCAGTCAACAGATGTGAGAGAGATGAGGCTGCTGATGGTAAAACACAGCACTTTCTCAAATTCTCCTGTTCATCAGGAGTGTACACTAAAACAAGGGTAAAAAGTATAGCATAATAAAATATATCAACCAGTCAGATGCTTCATCATCGTAATTGAGTATTATGTACTGTGTATCACGCTACGTGCTGCACTGTTCCAGGACTGGCTGCACTGCTGTAGGCCTGTTGAACACTCTATCACTGTACCCTTGTAACGCAGTGTGCTGTGAGGTCGCTAGAGAGCAGGAATGTCTCAGGTTATCATCCTCTTAGGAGACCCCCATCACGCAACACATGACCATATGCGGCCAGGAGGTCACCAGGTCAGTACGACTCATTGTGTCTCATCTCTTCCTAGGAAAGTACTGGAAACCAACAGGTGGGGGGCCTTCCCAAAGACTCGGGCATTGCTGAAACCAGGGATTCTTACGGAAGTTCCTAAACATACCAATAATGGGCACAGATCATTCAGAATTTTCCAAGGATATTTTTTTCTTTCTCTTGGCTAACACATTATACTTTCAAATATTTTAAAGTGCAGTTAAAATAACAGTAATTTCTCATATAACATACCTGATTGTCTCCTGATAAGAAAGGAAAGAAATCTAATCCTGTGGGAGAAAAAAAAATTATTTTATTTTGAACAACAACAATAGCAACAAAAACCTAATGCTCTACTTCCCATCCAGCTCCTTGCTAATGAGCCTGGGAAAGCAGCAGAGGATGGCCCAAGTGCTTGGGCCTCTGCACCCATGTGGGAGGAATTTGGAAAGAGCTCTTGGCTTCAGACTGGCCATTGTAGCCATCTGTGACAGTGAACCAGGCAGATGCAAAATCGCGCTCTTGTGCTCACTTCAGCAGTAGAGATGCTAAAATGGAAACAAAATCTCTCTTGCTTCTCCTCTCTCCCTCTGTGTATCTCTGCCTTTCAAATCATCTTTTTTCTTCAGAAAATGATATGAGAACTACTACCTTTCAATAATGTAAATGATTTTGAACTCAAACTTTATTAAACAAATGAATATACAGATTTTTCTCACTGCTTTTAAAATGGATCAGATTCACTAGAACAAACATGAAAATGTTTAAATACCTGAATGTGCACTACTTAAGAGATAATACAGCACAGCCACCCACAATGCCTGGGACAGAAGTCATGACAATCCCCTGGATTTAAGGGCCTGCTCTCCCAAACTTCCAATTCTTGCCTAGACTTCCCCACAAGAGGACTGCATTGATCAAAGAGATTATTGATGCCGCGTGACAACACAGAGACAGCGGTGCCTCACCTTGTAAGTCGTAAGGCATGGGTGTCATGTGGAAAGGATGCCTGTAGTCTTGGATGAGGGAAGTATTGATGTAGCTTGTGTCTACAGCAGGAAGGCTGGGGGTGCGGGATACTGGAGATGCTTGATGTGGAAGACTTAAAATGCTGTAAGGAGGGAATGGATGCACAATTCTCGTGAGTCAGTTAAAAGAGGTTATATTTTAAATGAGTGCTAGCTTTTGTGCTGGACATAAAAGCAAACACCAAGCAAAGAAAATACTTTCTATACTTACTAGCACTTTGCTGAGGCTATAAAGTAAAGTGGATGCATACAACGCAACCCAATATTTACACTCACAAATTCTGTGTTTATATCATCACCATGTAGGATATGAATGGAAAGTACCTGTATTAAAGGAAACTCTTTGGAGTGTGGGCTACTAGGAATGTAGCTGGGGGACAGTCACTGTGGTGCAGCACATAAAGTCACAGCTTCAGATGCCAGCATCCTATATCAGGGTGCCTGGGTCAAGTCCAACACTTTGCTTTTGATCCACCTTCCTGCTCAGGTGTCTGGGAGGCAGCAGACAATGGCTCAGGTACCGAAGTGCCTGTCACTCACATCAGACACAAATGGAATTCCTGACTGCTAGCTTGGTCCAGCCCTTGCCGTTGTGGGCTTTGGAAAGCCAATCAGCAGACGAAGGATCTCTCTCCTTTTTAAATAAATAAATTAAATCAATAAACCTTACAAACACAACAGAAGTATTGGTATGTCTTGGCAAAGAAAACATATAGGCAAGACCAGAGTCATCTGAGCAGCTGGGATAGAGCACCAGGGCAGGAAACGGCTGCCATCTATTTGGGTAAGCCCAGAGGCCAGCACTGCCAACAGCACTGTATGTGTGTGGAAGTCCTGCCTAATTGAATGAAGGCACTGAAACAGGAAGTGCTACAAAAAGAAAAGGTGGCAAGTTTTTAAAGGGACAACAGTCTAAGCAGAACAGGAAAAAAGAAAACCAGACGGATTCCAGTACACAGTGCAATGTCTAACAGCATGGTATATTTCTGGGTGAACTGGCTGTTCGGCAGCATTCTAACCAAGTTATTTTACATTTTGTGAAGTCTGCCTCTCCCTCATTCCTGGCTGGCTGCTTTTCTTTCAGTTTTGTGATAATGTTCTGAGATGCTTTTCTCCCCTCCCACTGCACAGCAACAGACATGCTGGGAAAGGGCTGGTATGGTGTCACACCCCTTTTAAAGATCTTTATGAATTTTCAAGTTTCTTTATCTGAAAAGAGAAAGGTCTGGCATTTGCAAAATACTATATCTGGGTTCAGTTAGTCACTGGGAAAACTCAGGAAGTAGTTAATACAGCTAATGTAGTTTTTCCAAACATAATAAACAGAGCTAATTTTGGATCATCAGCAAAGTAAATATCTAAAGAAGAAATATTACATTTCTGAACCCTCAAAAAGTCTTCTCAAGAAAAACAATGATTGCATGGTAAAGCTACTGCACGTTTTACATACATTATTTATATGTATACGCATACACATAAAGAACTATTACTGCTATTCTGAAGAACTAACGTATATAATGATATGAAAGTATTTATATACCTAACATTGCTGATTATGGTCTTAAAAATCTTATAACAATATCTAAACAAAACACTAAAGCAGTCTTCCATTAACCAGGCATCTCTGGATTTCCAGGAATACCTAGCATGATGTGCACTGCTTTGCTACCACCCACCATACTGTGTTGTTTATGGAATAATGGCAAGAAAGCAACTTGTAAAAGCCTGCCCTTGTTTAGCACTGATGTCTTTTTTTTCCCTGTATATTTTCAATTCTCACCAGATGTGGAACCATCAGCTATGGAGGGCTATGTTCTGGGTCATACTGAGGTCCGCTATTTACAAAACAGTTTGGAATTCGCATTCCGTATTTATTCCAATTGCCCGAGCTCCAGGTAATCTGACTTTTTGTCCTGCTCCGACTTGCTGGGTAAGAGCCCTCAAGGTGGGCTCTCCTCAGGAACTGCTCATAAACTGGCTGAAATATCTGCCTTGTTTACAATAATGGTACCAGTTTTAATGCTGTCATTTCTGTCTGCATACTGAAGTAAATTACTGTATGAAAGCAATAACCTGCATAATGCTTGCTTAAAATACTTCAATCTCATATCAGAGCTGAATGACTTGATTCTAAGCTCAGAAGCACTTAACTCCTGGTCCGGTATCAATGTCCCCTACACCGTGGAATCTATAACAGGGCTATTTATGGGCTTCCCTTCTTTCTCTTACATTTTTCCTTCAGGCGTTACTGTTTGCTGGAAGATTTTTCAAATAACTCCTATTCCGTTTCAAAAGGCTACATGATTCTCTGGAGATGCACCCAGAAGGGGCACCTCTGCTTGTGGAGTTACCATAAGCCCCACAAAACACAACAACTCCCTGCCGGGAGTTCTCGATGGACGTCTGGGACTTGCAGTCTGGTGAAGCGTGCAGGGAGCACCGAGCGCTGCCTTTACCAGCCCTGCAGAGTGCTCGGCTCCTCACGGCCCCGCCTGTATCTACATCACATTGTCATGCATGTTTAGCACACAGCAACCATGGCACATAATCATCGAGACATAACTAATGGGAACTACAGGAACCACGTCTGCGAAACACAGGACACCGAGTCCTGTGGCCTAGGACGTCTTTGCCCTTCACTGCAGGTTCACAGGCACCCTGAAGCACAGGCTTACAGCAGCTAGTCTCCCTCCGTTTTTCATTTAAACACTAGACTTGAGTAAATCTTCCAGTGGACAGCACCAGGGTCATCTGGGAGCTTAGGGTAACACACCCTGTCCCTGCAGCCCTCCTCCTGACCCGGGGAGCAGTATGCACATTCCACAAGCTCTTAGTCAATCCCATCTACACTCAAGTTTGACAGTCACTTCATGTATTAGAATCTCAGAAGAATGTCACGCATTAGGAAAAACTTAAACAAATAAGAAAAAAGTCCAACCTACTCTGTTTGCTAAGTTTTATAGTCATTTAATTTGATGGGTTTTTAAATTTCACGAGTTTTTTTTCTAAAGTCACAGCACTTACCCTTTATTATTTAGTGGTGATGTGGGAGAAAGAGAAGGACAAGCCCTCTTGGCAGGCGGCTCGTCCTCCTCTTCATCGGAGGAACTGTCGATGGTTAGGTCGATCACCTCCACCTTCTTGTTTTTATTTGAGGACGAGTGGTGAGAAGCCACCTGATGCTCCAACGTTGAGGTCAGGCATCCTGAATGGGAATGGTTTAAAACAAAGGTGAAGCAGACCTAGGACTCTGCTGTCTTCCTCAGGGTCACTGCAGACTGATGTATCTATTAGTTTACAGTCACAATGTCGCTGCAGCCAGAGAGTGAAAAACCAACTACGTTTCATAAAGCTACTACTGATTATGAGCTGTTAAAGGATTAACTTAAAAGACAGTTGTGAAATAGGATAAACAAATATCACTTTGAATAAGTCATCTGAGAACAGATTATATATTATGTGCATTTGTTTATACAGCACCTAATATATTTAAGAAACAATGTGGTATTAAAAAAACAATAAAACAAAAACCAACAACTCATAGCTTCCTTCCAGCAAAAACATACTAAGAGCTAGGAGTGGAGGGATAAAAACAAAGATTTATTCACTCTGTACCAAGACTGTTAAAAGTTCACAAAGGGTACTGTTAAAGTCATAATTTTACAAAAAACTTGTTTTATTATTTTGAAATCTTTTGTCAGAAAAAATTAAAAGTAGGTAAGGAAGTAAATTTAAAAGCAGTTCTACAGGCCCAGCACAATAGCTTAGTGGCTAAATCTTTCTCTTACATGAGCTGGGATCCCAAATAGGCACTGGTTCTAATCCCAGCTGCCCTGCTTCCCATCCTGCTCCCTGCTTGTGGCCTGGGAGAGCAGCAGAGGACAGCCCAAAGCCTTGGGACCCTGCACCCGTGTGGGAGACCTGGAAGAAGCTCTTAGCTCCTTTCTGCCTTTGGATTGGCTCAGCTCTGGGAGTGAACCAACGGACAGAAGATCTTCCTTCTTTGTCTCTGCTTCTTTCTCTGTATACCTGATCTGCCTTTCCAATAAAAATAATTTTTTTTTTTAAAAAGCAGTTCTATTACTTTTTGAGCATTTAATGAAGAACTTAATAAAAATCACTGGAAATATCCAAAAATTGCTCATCTGTTGAAAAAAGCCAGCATGCATTCGGATACAGAAATGCAGGGCTTGCAGGCGCAGGAGGGGCCCACACCTGCAAAGCTTCCACTTACCATCAACGCCATTGTAGGACGCAGACACTTCCTGCACTTCCTTTTTCGACCTCATGGGTGCCCAGGAGCCATCCTCCTTAAACTGTATTTCGTCACAGTCTGTACAGTATTTTAGGATTTCCATAAATAAGCTGTAAGAAAAAGAAAACCGACCTTCGAGTATCCCATTTTAAATGCAGAAAAATTAGAATTATTATTGCTCAAAAAACCAATGTAGACCTCCCAGGTTTTACACAAATACAACGCGGTAAAGAGAAAAATAGAACAAGCAAAATTTGTTCTCAAAGTCTGGTGCTCAATAATAACTACGGTATGCTAACTAAGGAAGTAGCCATGAAAAAATGACATTTCTAAAGATTTCTAATAACTTAGAAAAATGTTTACAAAACGTAAGAAGAGGCCAAGAAAACAAAATGATGATTCAAAAATAGAGCTGTGTATGAGTTCCACATAGGAACAGTCATAGCGGTGACTTCAAGTTTTGTCCTTGGGTTTGTCCTTGGGTTTGGCACTGCGGCATAGCAGGTAAAGACTTGCAGCCAGCATCGCAAAGTGGCGCTGGTCATGCCCGGCTGCTTCACTTCCAGCACAGGTCCCTCCTAACGTGCCTGGGAGAGCAGTGGAGGATGGCTCAAGTGCTTGAGCCCCTGCATCCACACGGCAGACTGGGAAGAAGCTCCGCGCTTCCGACTTTGTCCTGGCCCAGCTGTCACTGCACTCATTTGGGGGCTGAACCAGCAGGTAGAAGATTCTCTTTCTAGTTCTTTTTATCTGTGCCCTTCATATAAGTAAATAAATCTTTAAAAAATATATTTTTCTTCATACTTTTCTATTTGGCTACAATAAGCAACTTTTTCTTTCTTTTTTAAAGATTCACTCATTTTTTTTTTTTACTGGAAAGTCAGATTTACAGAGTGAAGCAAAGACAGAGAGAAAGCTCCTCTATCTGCTGACCTGCCCAAGGAGCTGCAATGGCTGAAACTCAGCCAATCTGAAGCCAGGGACCAGGAACCTACCCCCACTGCCCCATCCTTAAGGCCTTGGGCCATCCTCCTCCACTGCCCAGCCCTGCCACAAGCAGGGATTCTGAAGGGAAGTGGAGCAGCCAGGACATGAACTGGTGCCGATATGGGATCCCAGGCGTGTAAGGCGAGGACTTTAGCCACCAAGCCACTATGCTAGGCCCACGATAAGCCACTCTTATTAGATAAATTGCCTCCATAATAAGATATCATGCAGACATTAAAAAAAAAAGAGAGATATTTACAAAGAATGTATAAAATCATGGTCAGGACCTGGCGCAGTTGCTAAAGTCCTTGCCTAGCACGTGCCAGAATTCCATATGGGTGCTGGTTCATGACCTGGCTGTTCTTCTTCCCCTCCAGCTCCCTGCTTGAGGCCTGGGAAAGCAGACGAAGACGGCCCAAAGCCTTGGGACCTGCACCCGCGTGGGAGACCTGGAAGAAGCTCCTGGTTCTTGGCTTCGGGTTGGTTCAGTTATGGCCATTGCGGCCACTGAGGGAATGAATCATCAGAAGGAAGATTTTTCTTTCTGTCTCTCCTTCTCTTTGTATATCTGTCTTTCCAATAAAAATGATAAATAAATATTTCTAAAAAATCAAGGTCAAATGCTTAATTATAAAGCTAAGCAAAACACAATAATAAATATTGTGAATATCAAACAACCCTAACGACATACTTAGAAAAAAGATCTAGATAACTTTAGGCCAAAAAAGTTTCCTTCCATTTTTCTAATTGTTCTAGAAAAGAATGTAAAAGTGCGTTTGTAGGGTTAGCATGGTAGTGTACAAAACTAATCTTCCGCCTGCAGTGCTAGGAACCTGCTAAGGGTGCTGGTGCAAATCTCAGCTTCTCCACTTCCCATCCAGCCCCCTGATGGTGGTTTGGGAAAGCAGCAGAGGACGCCTAAATCCTTGGGACCCTGAACTCACAAGCAGACGCAATGGAAAATCCTGGCTTTGGATCAGCCTATTTCAGCTATTTGGGCAGTGAAATCAATTAGATGGAGGCTCTCTGTCTCTCCCTCTCTCCCCCCTTTTTTTGTAATTCTGACTTTCAAGTAAAATAAATAAATCTTCAAAAAAAAAGTTTCTGGTTTCTGTGTGTATGCTTTAAACATTTATTTTTATTGGAAAGGGGGTGTTCAAGAGTAGAGACAGAGAAAGATCTTCCATCTACCGGCTCACTTTCCAAAGGGCTGTACTAACAGGAGTTAGCCATGTGTAAAGCAGGTGCCAGGAGCTTCCTCCTGGTCTCAGGTGGGTACAGGGTCCTAAGACTTGAACCATATTCTGCTGCTTTCCCAGGCCAAAAGTGAAGAGTTGGATCAGAAGTGGAGCAGCCGGGACACAAATTGGTGCTGATATGGGACGCCTGTGCTACAGGTGGAGGTTTAGTGTGCAACCCCACTGCATCAGTCCCGCGTTTGTGTTTACACCCGTTATTTCAAGGAGGAACATAACACTACGGAACGCACAGTGCGGGTAGCACAGTACGGCTCCAGTGAAGAGGCCGTGAGCACCAGCGCCTGAGGGACACAGCAGGGACACTTGTTTTGCAGGATTGCTATCTCTCAAGCTCTAGGTAATACTCGCATTATCAAAAATATTCAATTTCTGATTACTATTTCAGACTCCTGTGCTTTTCCAAAGGTGAGCCACCTTGAATATTTTGCAAGCCAGCAAAGGTAATACGCTTTAGTTGTCCTTTTCATCAGCTACTTTTACTCAGTGGCAAAAATGAAATACAAGAAAAAAAAAATCCAAAAGCTACAGAATAGGAATTAATTTCAAGGAACATCTCAAGATGTCTAGTGGGAACACAGAAGTATTAGTAACAAATACCTAATTATTCTGATGTAGATAAGGAAAAAGCAAAACAAAAGAGGAATAAGGAAGAAAAGGACGAGGACCTTGGGAAATGGGAGAACAAAGCAGGCTGCCATCTGAACAGAATCGCACTCCTCCCAGGCTGTCTGTGAGTGGTCACCACGTGGGGACAGACTCAGGAGAAACACATACCCTGCTTAGAACCACTGGTGCTTTGCATGGGGAAACATCAGGGAAGCGTTAAGAAGTGTGAATATTCTTTTCTTTTATTAGGATTTTAAAAAAAGATTTGTTTTATTTTTATTGGAAAGTCAGATATACAGAATGGAGGAGGGACAGAGAGGAAGATCCTCCCCAAGTGACTGCAAAGGCCAGTGCTGCATCGATCTGAAGCTAGGAGCCACGAACCTCCTACTGGTCTCCCATGTGGGTGCAGGGTCCCAAGGTTTTGGGCTGTCCTCAACCACTTTCCCAGGCCACAAACAGGGAGCTGGAAGTGAATGAAGCAGGTCAGCTGGGATTAGAACCGGTGTCCATATGGGATCCCGGTGTGTTTAAATTGAGGACTTTAGCCGCTAGGCCACCGCACTGGGCCCTTTTTAAAAGGATGTTTATTAGCCAAGCTTGGTGACTGCCAAGTCCCACTACACTCTTTAAACAAGAGTACATCATACTAACACTACTCAGAATCCTAATATCTTACTTTTTTTTTAAAGATTTATTTATTTATTTATTTTTTATTGGAAAGGCGGATATACAGAGAGGAGAGACAGAGAGGAAGATCTTCCATCCTTCCATCCGATGATTCACTCCCCAAGTGAGCGCAACGGCCGATGCTATGCCAATCCGAAGCCAGGAGCCTCTTCCGGGTCTCCCACGCAGGTGCAGGGTCCCAAAGCCTTGGGCCATCCTCCACTGCTTTCCCAGGCCACAGGCAGGGAGCTGGATGGGAAGCAGGGCCGCCAGGATTAGAACCGGCGTCCATATGGGATCCCGGGCGTGCAAGGCGAGGACCTTAACCACTTGCGCCATCGTGCCGGGCCCCTAATATCTTACTTTGAAAACAATGATTTCTAGAATCATGAAAATCTTACAAAAGCTTAACTTAGAAAACAGTATTACTAGAATTATTATTCCAAGTTCAAAGGGATCACCAACTTGGGGAACAGATGTCATTTCAACGCACAAAGAAAAACTAAATTGACATACCCATCAATAATAAGGTGTTCATACGGAGCCTTCTTATCACAGACAGGACAGACCCAGGTTGGTTTTTTCTCATTCATCTGAATGTAAAGAGTTGCATCAAAGCACTGCAGGTGGGAACAGGTAAGCGCCCGGCACGGAATCGTCAGCCGCATTTTACCAAGCTTTAAGAGGGGAGAGAGAGCGAGTGTTAGACCCAACTGTTCTCTGAAATTTAAGCTCTGATAAAAATTTCCTGACACACAATAGAAACGTGTTCTAACTTAAAGCACAGTGCATTTACTTTGTATCAGTGTGAAAGAACATTCAATGCATTCTCTGTGAAACATAGCTACAGGTTATAACAATTACATGATTTCTTTCGACACCAAACACATGAGCATGCAAAGCCCACAGCAAAGGTTATTTATTCCAATTCAGAGCCTACAGATCAAGTTTTGGTGGGAAGGGCAATGAGCCCCTTGAAATCATACACAAAGTATAAGCACTTTTCTGAAGAATATTTCCTCCAAATTCTTAAAGTAGTTCCTGATACCGCAAAAGTCAAGGACCACATAACTATGGATTAGAAAAAGGAAAAGAATGCTTTACTGAATATTGAAGAGACAGAATATCCACTATCAGGTTTACTTCTGAACGAAAGCAGTTCCCAGGAGAAAGCAATGCATAGCAACCCTTGCCTGTGCAGGCTCACACACCTGCCGTGTGGCAGCTCTGAGGAGGTAGCCGGGGCGGCATCCTGGTTCACCCTTCCCCGGCAGCAGCCGCACAGGTAAGGCAGCCAACAGCCCTGGACTGCTAGCCTGTCCCGCCTGTCGGGAGACTTCTCTCCCGGCCTGCAGGTATTGCTTCAGCTGACACACACTGAGCCTATCCCTTGAACAGATGATCTCCCTCTGGGTCTCAGAGCAGCTAAACTTTGGCCCAAAGCAGAGTTTCAGAGACCTGCTGCATCTCAGCTTCCTTCTCCAGCTCATCAAGTACCACCGGGGCCCGAACGTGCAGACCGGCCACATGGCATAGTTACCTACTCTGTCACCACATTACTTGAAAAATACCTGGCAAAGATTTCCCACATATACCTACATTTGAACAACAGAAATGCTGGAAAAGGATATGAGCTTAATGATGAAAAGATTTTTGGCTTAGAGAATTTCAGGGAAACGTGCAATTTCCTAGTCTACCAAGGAAATTAACTGTCATTTGGAGCCCCAAATTATTGTTTTGGCACTAATGATTTACTGTGCCTTTAGGAAAGGCACTTAACCTTTCTGGGCCTCTTTTTCTATCTCTAAAGTAACACTGCTTCCTTTCGACTCCAACTGGACATAGTGATAAGGAATAAAAAAAGGATTCTGAATTATGTATTTTTCAAAAATTAGCCCAACGTAGCCTGTCACTGCCTGTACTTCCAGTGCCACTTCGCAGAGCTCCATCAGTCCGCTTTATCTGCGTGCTGCTTCTGACGGAACGAAGCTGAAGTCAGCTCCTGGTGCCCAGGCCGGGAAATGCACCTGCTACACCACAGGTGACAGTCCTGGGCAGTGATCAGACTTGGCTGTGCACGACAAGCGGCTCCGAGAGGCACTATCCCTGAGGAGTGCGCAGGTCATCTGCAGCATTTCTCTGCCTTGGTTTGAATTCTTGCCCCAGCTCTTCACTGTGTGAATTCTGAATGCTATTTAGTCATTTGTAAGGGGGTAAGAATAGCATTTATACAGCAGAATTGAGAAGATTAAAATATGTTTATATAGGATTATAGCATAATAGCAGGCTAATATTCTCTGCCTAAGGCACTGGATGCCATGTGGGTGCTGGTTTAAGTCCTGGCTGTTCCACCTTTGATCTGGCTCCTTGCTAATGTGCCTGGGGAGGCAATGGAGAATGGCCCAAGTACCCATTGTGGGAGATGAGAAGAAGCTCTTGGCTCCTGTCTTTGGACAGACCCAGCTCTGGCCATTTTGGGAGTGAACCAGCAGATGGAGGCTCTCTCTCTGTACTTCTGCCTTCCAAATAATAAAAAATAAATATTTAATAAACGGTTTATTACACAGTGCCTAGTACACCGTAAGCCTCCAGTAGAGTCACCAGTATTTATTATAATACAGCAATCCATTTGGTTTAGATAATTTTTGCCGGATAGGAAACCCACCCAACTCCAGCTCAACAATTCTGCTCTGTGCCCACAAAGCATTGAACAGCTTCATTATGCTGACTACACTTCTAGCAAATGTTTACAATTTGGTTTACACGAACACCTGACAAAAAGGAAAAGAAATAAACCAGTTCCTTTAACAGAAAAACTCTCACCTATTCATATCCTGAAACATTTTCCAAGTAACAATCTGTTTTGGAGTGCCAAAGTAAATGTTTATATCTGAAGTAAAATCTTAACTTACTTGTGAAGTGTCAACTTCTACTGAGTTGGTATTTTTGCTGCTGCCTTACCACTAAGTTACAGAAACCAGAGACTAAACCCCCAAATACAGTGACAGTACACAAGGCTCATGAGCTGTTCAGAAAGACAATGGGTGAGATAATGTTTCAGAATCCATGTCATAGTTCACAAATTTTATATCCTGAGAATCAGCTATTCCCCAAGTCTTCATCTTAGGCACCTCTAGCTCTATAATCTCCACACAGCAGATCTTTCACACAACAGAACAACTCTGAGGTCTTCACAATCAGCTGCACCGACAGGTGACCCTCTGAGTTTTTAGGCAACACGGACTAGTGAATGGTGCAGGGAAAATATTTATAAATAGGCACAGGAAAGGAGACGCTCAAATGAGTTGCAACACAAGTGTCAAGCTCTGAAAAACCGTAAAAATAGCTTGTTATATGATAATCCTCATATTCCCAATTTAAAAAAAAATCACTAGAATTTAAATATTAATTACTAAATGTTAATCAGTAAAATCTGACAAATGGACACTGATTTTCTCTAACCTGAAAAGAGGCTAATCTTTGGAGGTAGTAGATATTTGAAGCATCTGCCAATAAACCCAATTAACAACTCTGAGAAGTAGTTTCAATGCCTCTAACCTTACCATTAGTGACTAACGACACTGCGAGAGAAAACACTCAAGTGACAAGTTCAACCAGAATAAATTATATCAAAAGAACCCCCAAATGACAATAAAATGTGTACTTTTTCCTTGCACAAGGACAGGAAGACGTATGCTAGTAGGAATAGTTTTACAACTTTTTCATAGTAATAAATTTCATTAATTTCCAAAGAAATTTTTCTTTTATCAACTAAGATGATTTATGTTGACATTACAGGCCTGCAGAGTAATCTCATGATGTGGGTTCTCAAAAGATTCTTCTAGCTCTATTTTTAATAAATCACAACAAAAAATTTACAAAGGGCAAAATCATGGTTAGCTATCTTGGTTGTCGCCAGCTAAATGGCACATGAACAACTGCAACCCACAGATTTGGGGCTGAGCAGATCCCAAGCACAATTTCTATGTACAGTGACACATTCAGATTCACGTATTTCAATGGGAACAAATCTCTTTCTAGTCCATAAATTTGATATATAGATGAACTATCATTACTTAAATTTGTTTCTCAGCAACAATAATATATGACCTTATTATTTCAGAATAAGTGAAAGAATTATCCATTTAGCCAGCTAGAAACCTATGAGTGTAGTACAACTATAGATTATTATATAGAGAGCTATTCTTCCCATAGTCTCAATTTTTAAAGATTCATTTATTTATTATCTGCAAAGCAGATTTATAGAGAGAAGGAGAGCCACAGAGAAAGATCTTCTACCTGCTGTTTTACACCTCAGGTGGTTGCAATAGCCAAAGCTGAGCTAATCAGAAGTCAGGAGCCAGGAGCTTCTTTCAGGTCTCCCACATGGCTGCAGCGGCCCAAGAACTTGAGCCATCCTCCATTGCTTTCCCAGGTCATGCCAGGGAGTTGGATCAGAAGTGGAGTAGACAGGATACAAACCACAGCCCATGTGGGATGCCGGCGTCACAATAGTAGACGTAGGCTATTAAACCACGGGGCCAGCACCTATCATCTGAATTTTTAAAACAGCATCAATTATGTACTGTGAAAACTGTTGGAACTAAAGAGGAAGAATCAGGATGACATGAAAAATTCTTAAAAGTTGTACCCACTAAATGGAGATGCAAAGAGTAAAAATGTGACTAACATTTTTATTGTACAGATAAGATTGCTTCAACTATAAAAATCAAATTCATTCCACAAATTAAAACTTGAGACTTAGACTGGAGAGTTTGCCAAGTATTTCATAGAAATGTTATTAATACCATATATATTAGAATAATGCAAACTGCTTAGTGAGAATGCAGGAAAAAGACATTTCCCCTAGATTGCAATTAAAAACAGACCTTACATGTTTTCTGAAATTATCACATTCTCTGAATTGAGTTAACAAAGAAATGAGGTGGTTGGTACCATGTAGAGGCGAGTACCTAAGTCAGCATTTGAGGGAAAGAAGGTAAGATTAGGTGCATTACTAATTTTTTTTAAGAAGTTCTAGGAGGCAGCATGTGACGTAGGAGGTAAAGCTACTGCTTGAACACTTGGCACCCCATAGAGATGCCAGTGAGTCACAGCTCCATGCCTGGGGAGAAGTGGGAAAAGCAGGGGAGGAGGGCCCAAGGCCCCATCCCCACGTGGAGACCTTGATGAAGCTCCTGGCTCTGGCTGGCCCCGTCCCGACTGTTGCAGCCAGCTGGGGAGTGGACCAGTGTTTGGAGACCTCTGCTTAAACTTTCTCTCTGTTAAGTTGCCCCTTGCAACAAATAAATCTTAGTGTTTTTTCTTTTTAAGTTTTATCTTCTTCCCAAATGTTTTCCATGCTTTCCAAATATTTTTTTTTTAAAGTTCAAATTACTTTTACAGCATAGGCTGCTAAAAAACATTTATCTGATTCTTAAAAGAATTTTTAACAGTAGAAAAAGTTGGAGTAAAAAATTTTCTTTAAGAAAAAATACTGGCTCTAAAGAGGAATAAAATGAGAAGTTACAGAAAGATTGAAATACAATGACAGGACTTGGTCTATTAACTTATTATATTTCTTTCTATAACTTAGAAAAGTTTAATAATTAGCAAGATTTCCTTAAGCACACACTCAAAAATTTTTAAATGGTTTTAAAGTATATACTATATTTTAAATCACAATACTAAAATTAAATTAGGAGTTAGCTTGTTCACATTGTGTTTAAGGCTTTATAAATCACAAAATACAGATGCAGGACAAATAACATTTAACGTCTATTTATGTTGTTTTGTATCTTGAAGAATTCCACAGCATCACTGACACCTGGATGAGGAGATTTCGGGCAGGCTTGCCTAAACAGAGTAGGCAAATCAGGAAACAGCTGTGTCCTTTCATTCTCCACACTTTCTCCCCTATTTAGTTAGGCTCCGTTTGGTTAGTCATTAAACAAAAGGTAATCAAAATGTCAGGATAATTTACTATTAATTTTTTATATGTTTGCACATAAAAGCCATATCTAACTGCCATCGCTAATCCTTGTGGTACCAACATCAAATCAGTACAGAAATAAACCAAAGGATACATTTTTGGGAGATATTTCTACTACAGGTTTAACAATTTTGTTGTTTTCATGTCAAATATTCATTTCATAGAAACTACCAATTTTTGACATCTTCTGGTTTAAAACAAGCTTAATTATTTTGACATCCATAGCAAGTGAAATTATTTAAGATGAGCAGAACAGTTTTTAATTGACAGGTTCTTATCATGTCACTTTGGGCAGTGGTTCCGCTGGATGTGTGAGTGATCATGGCTACAGTTTTATTCAGAAAAGTACTCTTTTACAAAGCAAAGTTCGATAAACAGTCTGAGCCAACAATCATTTTTTATTTTGAGATTTTATACTTCAGTTGGAGACATTAATCACAAGCAATATTTTGGTATGTCTTACAAAGAATACAAAATTTTAAAAACCTTTATAGTCTACCCACACCCAGGTGTCACCCATTTTCCATACACTGTAACAAACCCTGGCATTTTACACATCAAGAGCAAGCATTGGTTCACACTTACTGGGCACAGCAGGGACACCCTTAGGCTGGTCGTAGCTATTTCACTGTCTGGATCTGCAGTCAATTTCTCTTTTACTGAAATTCATTGAATAGAAAACAAACAAACAGAACAATTTTATTAAAATAGATTCATTACTGATGCAATATTTGAAAATAAGGAACTTAAAAATAAAAAACTTAATGATCCCTTTTCTTCATAGTTCTTAGGATAACATTTTCTTTCTTCTAAATCACAACTAATATATTTGGACTCTTATTTCAAAGGAAATTAATAAACAACTCTCATAAAGGCTACCAGTTTTTGAAAGCTCAGATAATAAAGCATTCGTTATATAATAATTTGAATTTCAAATTATGAAAAGGAAACATTCCAACTGCTTTTTCTTAACCGCATTATTTGAGATCTACACTGAGTTACCACCTATCAAATAGCTGTGCTCCTCGGGCAAGCCAAGCCTCCTGCTTCAGCTCAGGGGCACGAGGACCCACACTCGACAATCTTCCGTCGTTCTATCAGGAGGCAGCAGTAGCCACTTAGCTTTTCACAGCTCTTCCCCTCTCTAGCATTTACTAGAAGAGATGCTGTACTTCCCACCTGTCCACCTGTGGCTTTTGCTACCATGGAAACCCTCAATCCAGAACAGTGACAAATAGCATAGGTGAGACGGGAAAGGCTTCCATATCCTGATAATGTAAAAAATAGCCCTGCAATCATTTTTAAGCCTATATTGTGTAAGGGGCTCTAACTGGAATGGTTGGGTGTGTAATCAATCGTGGAACTTCAGAGCAGTGACAACTATGACTAGACAGACACCATGAAGTAGAGAGGAAGAAGTATCCAGGCAAGTGCCAAGTGGAGTATCCTAAGATGGTCTGATCCTGGGATAATCTACCCAGCTCTACATAAAATTAGTAGATTCTGATCAAAACAACATCAAAATCATTAACAGAATTTTCTAATCTATAATTGTTTACTCAGTCAGAAGGGAAAGACATGAGCGACATGCCAAGCTAGAAAGTCATTTGGGACTTGAAAATTCCAAATTTCCAGGATTCATGTGTTTCACAGACTGACTCTAACATTCAAAATGAAATAAAATCCTTGGTTCTTAATGTGAAAATAAAGCCACTATAACACCTTGTCAATTAATACCATATATAAATTATGAATAAAAGTCTGCCATTGTTAGCCCTTTCTTATAAAGACACTTTGAAGATTATTTTATTGGGGTTGGTACTGTAGCACAGTGGGTTAAGCCACCACTGCAGCATAGGCATCCCATTTGGATATGCTCCACTTCCCATCCAGCTCCCTGCTATTATGGCTGGCAAAGCAGCAGGTGATGGCGGAGGTGCTTGGGTCCCGTACCCATGTGAGAGACCCAAAGGAAACTCTTGGCTCCTGGTTTCGGCTGGGCCCAATCTAGCCATGGGGCCATTTTGAGAGTGAACCAGTACATGGAAGACTTCTCTCATTCTCTCAATCCCTTTTCCTCTGCCTCTCTGTCCCTGTAACTCTTTCAAATAAAAACAAAGTAAAATCTTAAAAAAAAAAAAAAAAAGGAATACTATCTTCTTAAGGACAACAAAAAATTACCATAAAAACACTCAGATATTTTTCTAATATGCTATGATGATTAATTTTAGGTGTCACATGACTGGATTAAAGGACTCATGGATTATTTCTAGGTATATCTATGAAGGTATTTCCAAAAACTGGGTCCCAGGACATGGATCCCAAGGGGAAGCTCTGACCTTAAGATGTCATTCACTTGGCTGAGGGCCTGGACAGAACAAAGGCCGATTCATGCTTCCTCTTGGAGCTGCCCACTTCCCTCTTCCGCCCTTGGGCATCAGAACTTGGGGTTGTTCAGCCTCTGGAAGCTGGCATTCGTACCAGTGGACCCTAGACCTTCAGGTTTTCAACCTTAACACAGAGTTTGGCCTCCTTGTTTGTGACGCCCCATACCTTGGCCTGAGCTATACTAGTAACTTCCTTTCAGATGCTACATTGAGGGACATCTCAGCCTCCATACCTGCATGCACCCATTTCTCCTAATATTCCCCTCTGATGTTCCTCTAAATATCCTTAGTGTTCTGTTTCTCTGGAGAATTCTAACACACTAGTCATTCTCCCAGCCTTGAGCAACTACCTGCTCCTTGCTCCCCAGCATCTTTCCCACACACAGCAATGGGGACTTATAAAGAAGCAATACCACAGATCATAGTATCAACCTTATATAAGACAAATCTCAGTGTTTAGTACTTAGAAAGGAAATTAAAGTAGAAGAGGTCATGTAAGTGCCTAGGACCTATAGCCAACCTAGAAAAGAACTCAGCTTTAGTTTAGGTACTAGATCTCTCCATTCCCCAGTTTCATCATGTGGTAAAAGGGAATAATCATACATCATAACACCACTTTGACGATTAAGTAAATTGATACAAGTGCGATGTTTTTGGACACTCTAACACCATATTCAATAACCATTAGCTACTGTCAGTTAAAAACGTGACTGCGTGTTCACTTTCTCTGAGAAGTAAACTTTTCTCTGAAATTATGTCAGAATGCTTACCAGTTTATATCAAAAAGAAAACAACACCTTTGCCATTATAGGCCTAATCTTGATCAATCCTTCCTTGTAAAATACTTTCAGATCGCACAAAGATCTTTATTGGACTGAAGCTACAGTGAGCCACAGTTACAATTAATCTTGTGCTTGTTCGTTTTTATAATGAGTTATAAGTTAATCACATGAGGCTGTATATGAAGTTAATTAAAATTTTAAAAGCATTCTTTAGTTATAGTAGGTACATTTTTCTTCTTCCAGATTTACTTTTGTGTATTCGAAGGTAGAGAAACAGAGAGAGAGGGACAGAGACAGTGAGTAAGATCTTTCATCTTCTGGTTCACTCTGACAAACAGCCACAGTGGCTAGCTCTGTGCCAGGGCAAAGTCAGAATCCCAGAGCTGCTTCTGGGTCTCCCATGTGGATGCAGGGTCCTGGGGTCTCAGACCATCCTTCACTGCTTTCCCAGGTGCATTCTCAGGGAGCTGCATCAGAAGTGGAGCATTCACACTTTCAACTGGTGCTCTAGTGGGATGCTAGCACTGCAGGCAGTGGCTTAATCCTCTAGGCCCTAACACTGGGCCCCAGTAGGCACATTTTAAGTGCTTAATTGCCACAGGTTGCTGGTGGTTACGATAGGGGTAACTGTTCTGTAGAACAATTCTTTGATTGCTATGTTTTGAAATGATGCGTATCAGTCCCTATCCCAGCCGCCCCCTCCTTTGTTTTACAGGCAAGGGTACATATGCCAGCTTTTACTCTAGATCTCTTTTTCTTTTTTCAGTCTGTTTCAATGAAGACAGAACATCAACCAACTCCTGCCCAAAGAAGCCCACAGTCAGCAAGCTGGTCAAGTGGAGAGCTCAGCTCCAAAGTGCTCTGCTGGAGGTGTGCTTGGGGAGCAAAATCAGAGTCACCTCCTCTCCTGTGGGGCTTCTGAGGCGCCAGGGGAGAAAGCAGAACACCACGGACGAGAGGCAGGCGAAGGGCTGAGCAGGGAAGCTCCAAAGGGTTGAGAGGAATTCTCAACACTGAAGACAAGTATCCCCTTTTTGGAACGTAATGCATGAGAAGGTGTGAACAGAGAAGAGAGCAAGCAGATAGCACCTCCTGGAGCATCCATGTGTCAGTCCAAAGAAGCCGGAGTACAGGGATGCATTATTTAAGAATAATTTTTTAAAGTAAAGGCAGTATGTGAGAGTTTAAACAAGGGCAATACTGTTTACTATCGAACATGTAAGTCTGACTGGACTTGGTGATTTCAGTTTAAAACCCTTGATTCCGAGGGATCAGTGGACTGCCCAGGTGAAGGCACATAGATGGAGGAAGACCTGAATGAGCATAAGGACTCTCACAGTGCAGTGCCAGTTTAAACCCCTATTCACAGAAGGTACACAGGAAAGTGAAGCAAGGATGAAACAATAGGGAACACCAACATTTAGGAAGCTTTTCTCAGGGGAATCCATTAAAGGCAAGTGATGGAAAAGATAAGAGAAAAGGAAGGAAGGCACTTCAAGGAGAAATCAGCTGGTATCAAACACAGAAGTATCCAAAATAGAAAATAAGGAGATATATTTTAAGTTTAGCAGTGCAATAATGGGTGGCTGGCCTGAACAGACGTATCTTAAAATGTACAAATAGTAAGTGTAAAAAATGCTCAATATCATGAATCATTTGGGAAATGTAAGTCAAAACCACGGTGAGGGTGAGCACTGGGGTGTAGCACATTAAACCATCACCTGCAGTGCCAGCATCCTTATAGGCACCAGTATCTTGGATGCTACACTTGCTGCCCAGCTCCCAGTTAATGTGCCATGGAAAAGTACTAGAAGATGGTTCAAACGCTTGGGTCCCTGAAACCATGTGGCAACACAGATGAAGATACTGGGTCTTGGTTTCTGGCCCAGCCCTCACTACTGAGGTCACCTGGGGAATGAACCAGCAGATTAACATTCTCTCTCTTGGGCCCTGGCAAGGTAGTCTAGTGGCTAAAGTCCTTGCCTTGCATGAGCCCCTGGGATCCCATATTGGCACTGGTTTGTGTCCCAGCTGTTCCACTCCCTGTCCAGCTCCCTGCTTGTGGCCTGGGAAAGCAATCAAGGACAGCCCAAAGCTTTGGGACCCTGCACCTGCGTGGGAGATCTGGAAGAGCTCCTGTCTTCAGATGGGCTCAGCTCCGCCCATTGTGGCCGCTTGGCGAGTGAGTCAGTGGACGGAAGATTTTTTTCTCTGTCTCTCGTTTCCTCTGTAAATCTTTATAAAATCTTCAAAACCTTTTAAAAAATCTTAAAAAGAAAAAAAATCTCTCCTTCAAATAAAAATTAATAAATCTTTTTTCTTTTTTAATTTAAAAACCACAACGATACATTTCACTCCAGCTAGAATGGTAATTATCAGCAGAGTGGTCTGGGACAGCAGCTGGAGCTCCGGCACGAGGCGCCCACCTCCTGTCACAGAGGGTCTGATTGGAATCTTTGCTCCTCTGCTTTGGGAGATAGGGGGAGGGGATTCAAGCACCGAGTCCCTGACATTCATGTGCGAGGTCTAGATGGAGCCCAGGTTCCTGGCTTTAGCCTGAGTCTGCCCTGGCTGCTGTGGGCACCTGGGATGTGAACCTTCGGGCAAGAGAGCTCTCCTGCTCTAGCTCTCTTTCTGCCTTCTAAACAAAATGAACATAAATAGTTGTTTGTTTTAAAGAATGGCAATTATCAAAAAGACAAACGATAACAAACATTGATGAGGACAAAAAGGGAAACTTCTGATTCAGACTGCAAATTAGTACAGATTGGAAAGAGCATGGAGGTTTACTCAAAAGACCAGAAATAAAAGTGCTATATGATCCAGCCGTCCCTTGACTGGTTATTTAACTACAGGAAATGAAATCAGCAGACCGAAAAACATCTGTATTTCTGTGTTTATTTCAGCACTAGTCACAACAGCCAGGATAAGGAATCAACCTAGGCTCTACTAACAAACAGGCAACACAAATACACAATGGAATACAATGTAGCCATAAAAAGGAATAACTGTCACATGCAGAAACATGAATGAAGCTTAGAGATTATTACGTTAAATAATGTAAGCCAGGCACAAAAAGATAAATACCACCTGTTCTCATATGAGAAAGCTACAGGGTTGTTAAGAGCAAAATATGGTAATTAGAAGGTGTGAAGGGGGAGACAGAGTGAGGAAGGTTAACACGGACAGAACACAACTGAACCACAGCTCCAAAGAATAACAATAGTTGACAACAATCATTATTTTTAAAATGGTTAGCAGAAAAGACTCTGAATGTTTCCAACGTAGGGCAATGATAAGTGCATTTGGTGACAAATAGAACAGTTATCCTGATCTGATTATCATATACACATGTACATTTAGTATATGTCAATAAGAATCTATTTTTAAAAGAAGAAATTACGATGACAAAAGGAAGAAGAGGAAGTTCTCTCTGGTGAGGAGCTTGTTCACCTAGTTTCTTAAAAAAGAGACTTGATAGGGAAGCGACAGCCGGAACCCACACAGAGAAAAGTGTGGGTTTGCTTTGTGGACTGTCACAACAATCACGTCGCCCAGTGCCACCAGGAGCCAAGACTCCTCCGTGACCATTCTTCTTCTCCACTGTTCACACATTAACCAATACAACTTTTACCCTTGAATGCTTCTCAAAACATACTTCTCTCATCACTGTTACTACTTCAGCTTAAGACACCCCTCTCTCTAAGGCGTACAATCACAGCAGGTGCCTGAGTTGGCCTCGCAGAACTGGTTTTGCATTGCTCCCCTCCAACTTCAATTAGTCCCTAAAGCCAGGTTCACATTGTCCCAATGCGATGATGTCATTACTCTCCTTAAAAACCCTCCCATGGCTCACGACCATCTGCCTCCACGCAGTCCACACGCCTGTCTGCACCTCTGCTCTGGTTGCTCTCCTGCTCTGCTCCTTCCATGGCCCCTCCCCATGGGTCTCATCTTCCCAGCTTGGAGTTTAATTCTCCTTGTCCTTACAATCCAGCCATAAGCATCACGGCTGACTGTACCCCTGCTGCACCTCTGCTCAGCTCCCTTTTTCTTCAAGGCACACATCTAACTGTAACTCAACAACAACCCTTATCATCAATCACTGACTTTCCATTAGACTGCAAACTTCTAGCACACACAGAGAAGTATGTCTTGCTTACTGCCATATTTTCATATTCTACACCTGCACGTGTAGACAGTATGTTTTCTTAAATGAGATGAACAAACAAAAGATTCGCTTTGAGCAGGAAAAGGGACCCGTGACAGAGAAGTCTCTACAGTAAACTGGATACAAACACAGGAAGGGGAACAGTAACTGATGGCGCTGAGGGAGAGAACTGACTTCCTTTATCTGATGTCTTGCTTTGGTAGGGCTTTGGTGAAGAGAACTAGGCTTGAGTGAAATACGTCTGAGGCGTAAGTATCTGCTGAAGGAAGAGCACAGAAGGGAGGGGAACTTGCCCAAGAGTTAGTACAAGGACTGCTTTTGTGATAACTGCAAAGGAATAGTTCTATATCAAAGTAGAAAGCATGAGCTGGCATGGTGGGACAGTGGGAAGCTACCAACTGAAACGCCAGATCCAACTGGGAGCTGGTTCCTAATGCAGTTGCTCCATTTCTAGCTCCTTACTAACAGCCTGGGAAAGCAGCGGAAGATGGCCCAAGCATCAGGAAGATGACATGCCACCCATGTGGGAGACTTGGAAAAAGCTCTTGGTTCTTGGCCTCAACCTGGCCCAGCCACAGCCACTGGGTCCTCCTGAAGACTAAATCAGCACATGGGAGGGTTTTCGCTCTTTCTCTTCATCTCTGTAACTCCAACTTTCAAATGAATGAATATATTTTTTTAAGGTAAAAACCACAAGATCAACATCTACAAAATCAAGTGAATCAGAGAATCGATTTCTCTGTAAAAAAACTAAGTGCTATCAACTTTATTCCTTTAAGAATGTAGTACCTGGTTTAACTAATGAAACTTCATTAATAAAATTTATCTGTAAGTGTAAGAATGACTTACAATGAACACTTCTAAGTAATTTGATTCTTCAAAATTGTCTGAGATTTTCCTTTGACACATTATTTTAAAAGCTATTTTAGGTGCACAACTAATTTGCTGAGAAAGTTTATTTATTTTTTTATTGTGAAGTTAAATATACAGAAAGGAGGAGAGACAGCAAGATCTTCCATCTGAGGATTCATTCCCCAAGTGGACTGCAACAGCTGGAGCTGAGCTGATCCGAAGCTAGGAGCCAGAAGCCTCTTCTGGGTCTCCCACGTGGGTGTAGGGTCCCAAGGCTTTGGGTCATCCTCAACTGCTTTCCCAGGCCACAAGCAGGGAGCTGGGTGGGAAGCGGGGCCTCCTGGATTAGAACCGGTGCCCATATGGGATCCCAGTGGGTTCAAGGCAAGGACTTTAGCTGCTGGGCCTAAAAGTTAACTCTTTAGTTGTAGCAGTTCTTTAATTACAACAAATTTCATCCAAGTTAGTGTCCCATTGGAACCCTATGCCAATAAGCAGGACACCAACTGTTATAAAAATCTCAGGTCATGTGCAACTTGGAGATTTTGAATCAAGTATCTTTGGGCTGCTCAACAATCAGTGGTTTCTTAGAGAAAAAACAATTCCTGGGTCACCATCCAACTCTCCCTCCAGGTGGCGATACAGCTACAAGTGGAGAAAAGAAGAACTTGAGCAAAGACATATTGCACTGTCTTTTAAGGAAGACATGTCTCCTTTCCTCCAGGAGCCCTGCTATCTCCTTGTTCCTGCCAATGGTGTCTCCCTTCCCCCAGGCCCCAAGCCACCAGAGTATTGTCATTTTAGCCTTCTATCACATGTCAAGGAATCACCAAAACCTCAACTCAGAATTACTGACATTTAAAGAACAGAAAACTCCTTTCAATGAGCTCTTAGGGGTACAGTGATAGGAGTTGTGGGACCTTTCACTCTGATATAGAAACGAGAAGGGGGTAAAAGTTTGGGCATAAAAGGAATGAAAGCAAAACAGATTTACTACTTAAGCTCTTTATTATAACAGTGTTCCCAATTACAAATCATTAGTGGGTTCCATTAATCAACTCACCCCTAGAATATTTAGCAGACAGATACCTAACTATCACCTATAAAAAGTTTTGCTCCTGGGTCCGATGCAATGGCTCTGTCGCTAAATCTTTGCCTTGCATAGGTTGATATATATAGGCACTGGTTTGTATACTGGCTGTTATTTTTCCCTTCCAGCTCCCTGCTTGTAACCTGGGAATGCAGTCGAGGACGGCCCAAAGCCTTGAGACCCTACCCACATGGGAGGCCTGGAGAAAGCTCCTGGCTGTTAGCTTCGGATTGGCTCATCTTCGGCCATTGCAGCCACTTGGACAGTAAACCAGCAGGTGCAAGATCTTTCTCTATTTCTTTCTCTCTGTAAATCTGCCTCTCTAATAAAAAATGAAGTAAATCTCAACAACAAAAAAAAAAGTTTTGTTGCTGGTGTAGGTGCAATGGCACAATGGGTAAAGCCTCAGTCCACCGTACCAGCATCCCGTATGGGCACTGGTTCTAATCCCAGCTGCTCCACTTCCAATCCAGCTTCTGGCTAATGGCAGGGAAGGCAATTGAGGATGGCCCAAGATTCGGGACCCTGTACCCATGTGAAAGACACAGAAGAAGCTCTTGACTTTGGAGAGGTCCAGCTATGGTCACTGCAGTCATCTGAGGAATAAACCAGCAGACAGAAATCTTTCTCTCTTTTCTCTTTGTTGTAACTGCCACTTCCAGTAAAAATAAATGTTATTGTTACCTAAATATTCAACCCTCACTCTCAAGCCAGTCATGAGCCACATACACTAAACAAAGAACTTCTCTGGAAAGGTCACTAACCTGAGGCCCTCACCCTCAAAAACCGGAGGCTGGGTCCATTCCTTTGCAGACTTTACTTATAGCTCAGGTAAAATAAACCATCCAGTAAATCACTTTGGAGAGGTTTTGGAAATCATATGATACAAATCTCTTCTTACAGATTAGGAACATGAGGCTCAAGTGCTGATTGATTTGTCCACAGCCAAACTCCTTTCATTGACTGTTCCTACCATGAGTCGGTACATTCCGCTAATGCATGCCAAGATTTCCTTCCCCACTCCAGGAATGCTTTAAATTTATATTTATTCTATAAAATTGTAGTAAAAGCTTCTTCATGTTCATGTACTAGTTTTACAGTGTTAATTTTAAGGCTGATAAATTACAGAAAACAACACATCCTTAATGTAAAAGATATGCTAAGTTCTCTTAGGTTTTGTTTTACAAGGTTCCCGATGTTTTTAATGTTCTAGTTTAAAACAAAACAAAACAAAACAAAATCCTGAAATTTCTTGATTTGAGAAAATACTACTTAATCCTTTAAAAAAAATAGGTGAGCTACATAAATGAAGTAAGTTTATCATACGTACTTAAAGCTCTAGAATGATCCGGATTCCTTATTCCCTTTGCTCGTAACCTCTGAAGAAGAACTGTTGAGGACAACTGTTTTACAAGATATACTGCCATGGAATAGGTCTGGAAAAAAAAAGATGCAGAAAACAAACAACACATGTAAGTAAACAGCACATCTACTGTAACCCCACAGAGGGAGAGTACGACTGCTCCTGAAGACAGCTACTGGGTGTCAGAGCACTGCCCTCAGGTGTTTCCATGGACAGTCACTTATTTCATCCTAACCAAAAGGCTGCTGAGGCAGTCATAAGTCTATCTCCATGCTTATGGATGAGGAGAGTGAAGTATACAGAAATAAAAGAACATGCCCTAAACTCTGCAACTGTCAAGTGACACAACTAGGATTTAAATCCAGGTCTGTCATGCTTATGTATTACCTATCTACCTATACTTGAGCTAAAAACTTAAGGCATTTGTAGGAAAGAACACTGTTAAGGTTAAAGATCAAAGAAGGAAATGTTAAGAGTTATAAACCATATTCGGTAGATAGCAGGTCTAAAAATGGCAGCTATTTTAAAAATTACAAACGAGATTCACTTCCTCATTTGTGACTTTTAACACTTCTTTCTGCCCCTGACTAGCTCTTGAAAAGATGGGGGAATACTAATGATGTTCAAGAGAAGCTGCTGGTTTGGCAAGTGAGTGGATGAACATGCATTACCAGCTGAGGGACCCCGCCGAGGTGGCTCAGGCACAAAGGGTAAAGCAAACATCAGCATGCCAAGACTCAGTGAAGGGACACATGGTAGGATAAGAGGAAGACAAGAAGGGTGGGGCTTAGGAAAGGAAGAAAGAAAAGAAGGCCGCATTATTTTCCATTCAGTATCGGGCTCAAGAGGAAGATCAAGAGACTTGAAAAGAAACGAAAGAAAACTAATTGCTTATGATATATTTTCACACTTGCACAAGGTTTTCAAGGCACTCTAAACATGTACTGAATATTACAGAAGACCTATTAAGATACGAAAGAGCTGGTGAAACTACAACACAAACATATTTAGGTAACCTTCTCATGAGCATGCCACTGCTTGAGGACAGAGTGGGTGTCAAGAACCACCAGGGAGAGTAGGATGGCCCAGTAGCACTGCTTCCTAAGGCCAAGCTAGCCCTCTGCTGCCTTGGTCTCCCCAGTCTATGGGTTCTGAACCTCCTTACCTAGAGGCAGACCCCATATTTCAGTCATATTTCACACTTCTGAAAACATAATCCTTACTTTTGGCAACAAGAAAAGTCATCCTATAGCACCTTCAGCAAGGTCAAACTCTTATTTAAAGTTCAGAAACTTATCCGTGCGCACATGCTACATATTTACTGGGGGTAAAAATGAATTGTCAAAAAAAAATCCAAATTATTTTTATTAATAAATCTCCTGATATATTAATAAAGGACAAATTACCTTGAGCATACACTATGCTAATTTAAAAAAGCTCTGGGGCCAGTCTATGGAACAGCAGATAAAGCCGTGGCCAACATTCTACATGGGTGCCAATTCTGAGTCCCAGCTGTTCCATTTCCAATCTAGCTCTTTGCTAATGCACCCGAGAAAGCTGAGAAACCAGCAGAAGATGGCCCAAGTCCTTGGGTCCCTGTACCCACGTGCCAGACCCAGCAGAAGATCCTGGCTCCTGGCTTAGGTCAGGTTCAGTTTCAGTAGAAGCAGCCAATTGGGACATAAATCAGCAGGTAGAAGAATACTCACTCTTTGTAAACTATGCCTTTCAAGTAAAGAAATAAATCTTTAATAAACAAACGTAAAAGCTTCCTTTGGGGGGGAAAAATCTTATTCACTGCTATTACATATTTGCTTAATACTTCAAGTATGACAGAAGCTACAGGAATGCTAAGTAACATGGTGAAATCATGTGTGGACAGCTTGAATCGTCACAATTTGGAATTACCCTAAGGCTCCATATAAATATTTAACGAGATCAAGTAAAAATTACCACAACAAATTCCATGAAGTATGTTTACTCTAGTCATAACACATAACTAAATAGGTGGCGGGGGTGGGAGGACTACAAAAAGAATGGCAGGTATTGAAAAATGCCATTTGTACTGATAATGTGGGATTCAATTTCCTATAGAAGAGATCACTAGCACAAAGTCCAAAATCAAAGAGTGGTATAGTATTCTGCTAATACTTCTGCTCACCCTTCATAGTCACCTTACTGCATCCAGCGAGAGAGGACCAGATTGCACTACTGGTTTTTTTTTCCCCCCTTCCAGGTTTAATACCTTTATAAAGCCCATAAAATTTTCTCCACACTGAAATATAATCTATGCATCCGAAAGCTTTTACACTTGTATCTAAATAAGTTTTCTATAAATAAGGAGCTTAGTAAATGCTAAATGCAATGATTACCTGGGATAGGAAAAGCAGCTACAATATAGTTATTGTTTTCAGACACTGTACTAGCTATGTCATTAAAAAAGATAATTATAACATTTCTCAACAGCAACCAATTACATAAATTATCTGCAAAATGTTAACAGACTGTACAGTAACTAGAGTATTTTCATAAACTGAATTAAAATATTAAGCATAATTTTCTCTTAATGTTTGACTTCAAAAAGGTCTCTAACTTGTAGGTCAACAAAGTGCAGCAGCCTGGACCCTGCCCTCAGAGAGGCTCTCTGGTTCTCCTCTGGAGCCACCAGCACACTCTTCTCCCACTGGGTCAGCCCTGCTCCTTCTGTGGGCTCTACTTCCTACACAGAAACAAAGCCAAAGGAGAAGGTGGCAGGGAACTTCAAAGTACACTAGACGTAAAACAATCACAAAAACTTTAAAAACCCAATGGCGACGTAAGAGTAAAAAAACCCTGATAAGATGCCAAAGGGATGTTGGTAAAATTCAAAATCTATCTCTGAGAAAGATATCCAGTAAAAGGGGAACATGCGAAAGTATCACCTGTATTGTTAAGTTCCAGCTAGTATAACATTTGTTGTAACAATAGCAGGATTCTCAATGGCACAAACAAAACAAATATGCCCAGTAGTACCTGTTCTATTTAACCCTGTTCACAAGTTTTAGCCAAGAGAATAACAAGAAAAGATGACAAGGATTCGGGTTAGGATAACCTGATCCACCTCATACTCCAAACTGCCTTTTTAGAAATACCAGATTAAAAACGAAAAAGGTATTGGAACCAAAATGCAAGCTTAGGTATGAAGCAAATATCCAACAATAATTGGTTTTTAAATGAAACGAAATCTTTAGAAAATACATTGCAGAAATATTTATAATAGCAATGATCAAACCAATGAGTTAACAAAAATACGCAAGACTAAAGAAACATAAAAAAAAAGATATAAGTAGGTGGAGAAAAATAACTACTAGAATAAGGATATTATACAATATGAATGATAAATTCTCCATACCTTGATTTATTAAAGAAATCTCATCCAAAATTCTCTGAAAGATGGGAAGGAATGGAGACATGACAATTCAACAGTACATCCAGGGACCATGTGTCACTCTCTGAAGGAATTTCAACCTTGCCACTATCCTCAAAGACCTTATTTCTTCCCTTATTCTCAGATGACTTAACTCAAACCTCATATTTTAGAAGTTAAGGGAAGGCATCACCGCTCTAGGATCAAATATGCATAATTATTCATCCTTTAGTCTCCTAGTAAGCAAAAAGTCCTCTCCACGATCACTAGTTACTCCAACCACACGATTCACTATTGATCTTCTGCCCACCTGTCTCCTCTATATTTAATCTTCCACTCTCAAGAATATTCCTGCCATCCTCTTCAACCCTTTAAACACACCCTCCCATGAAGACAAATTATTCCCTCTTCTCTCACTTCAGATTCCCACACACTTACCCTTTCCAAATCTGTTCAATACTGTTTACATTCCTTCCTTTCTGAAGCTTTTCCCCCTTGGTTTCTCCTGTCCATCCTCCTCGCTGCTCCATCATAGATTCCCTGCGCTGTCCGCGCTCATTCTCCCCCCCCCCCATTAACTATAGCATCTCCTCAAGGACAGCATCTCCTCAGGCACGCTTCTCTTCCTACTTGATACATTCCCCTAAGCTATGTCAGCCCTGCATGTGTGGCTCCAACAACCATTAATACACATATGGCTCACATTTTTTTTCTAGCCCAAACTTACTCCCCTAGCCTGCCTGCTCAATTGCCTATTCAGTATGTCTCAAGGGCATCTCAAACTCAAAACCTCCAAAATGGAGTTCTCTATCTAGCAGTGACTATCCATGTCAATAATGTTTAAGCTGATAATTCTGTAAGACCCGCAAATGATGCTATAAATATCCAAATGTGCTCAGCAGAGAAAAGTTTCCCACCTCTGTACTAGACCTTCAATGCCCCCTTTTCCAAAGCAAAGCAAAACACAACACAGTACACCTAACTTCAGTTTTTTTTTTGCATTGTTTGCTTAACCCAGAAACCAGAGGGTTATCTATGATGTCTCTCTTGGAACCCACTTCCAAACCACCCCAAAACTGTAACTCTCCCACTTATCCCTACTTCACAGCCAGCACTGCACACTAAAACAATCTCTTTCATTAATTTTCCGAATAGCTATGTCCCAAAAGACAGCATCTGGCATGATTCTGACCTCTATTCAAATTGTTCACCACCAGAAGAGAAACGATCAAGACACTCAGGGTTGACACTGATTGCCCAGAGGAACACTGGTTCAAGTCCCAGCTGCTAAACCTCTGGTCCAGCTTCCTACTAGTATGCCTAGGAAAGCAGAAGACTGCTCAAGTCCTTGGGCCCCTGGCATCTAGGGAGACTCAGATGGAGTTCCAGGCTCCTGCCTCCCACTGACCCAGCCCCAGCCACTGCAGTCATTTGGGGAGTGACCGAGAGGATGGAAGATCTCCTTCACCGTCTCGCCCTCTTTCACTCTGCCTTATAAACAAACAAACAAATAAATAGATAAATCTTCAGAGAGAGAGAAAACTCTTAAGCTTAATCACCTATGAGGCCCTGTCACTGCTGCCACCCCAGCTGGTGGGCTGCTGTGCAGGTGTCTTCTCTGAACCTTACCTAGGAGATTCCTGGGTGTCTTTTAACTCCTGGACTGATGAGGCTTCTTTGGTAGCCTGCCCGGACCTCTCTCCCTAACTCCAATCTCCCTGCAGTACCTTCTAAACCTCATGTACTTTCATGGTACTTAAAACAAAGAAATTCTTATTTTTTATGTGCTGACCTGGTTCTAGATCCACAGTTCCAGATCCATGAGAGCAAGAAACCTCTTTTTCTTGCTATGGAACTGTCGGTTGTGTTATTATGTATGGCACACAGTAAATTTCGAATACATTAGTGAATAGGATACGAACAAATACCAAAAAGCTATAATTTAAATATTGCTATTTTCAAAACATTTTTCCAGAAAAAAAGAGATTCCCCCCCTTCCCCAAAATATAGAAAAAGTTCAGGATATATAAAAATTAAACATGTAACAGTAAGAATCCCAGGAAATAACTGGCATTTTAAGTTAAAGGTATTAGATCTAGTCACGTAAAAAAAATGAAAGCAATTTTAAAATCACACATCACATAAACTTAAGATACACTGAATATTTAAAGGCCAAACATGACAACTTAAAGAAAAAATATGAAGAGACATTCATTCACTCATGGGAAGGGCAGACAGATCAAGTACAAGGGTAGAGAGAAACAAATTATAAAGGAAAAACTGGGCTAAAATTTGGCCCCATAAAAATCTACTCTCACATATTAAAGAACAAGATATAAACAAAAACAAAATACAAACATATTTACATGTGACAAAAAATTAAGTCTTGACATACCAAGAACTTAAACTCAAGTCAGAGAAACAGACATGGATACCATTTTAAATATAAATAATCACAAAGACATGTTCACTACTGAATGGAATGCTAATGAAGGCAAGTGCTACCATTATTTACCTAATGACATCTGTAAGGATAATAATGAGATGTGAGAATAAGCCATGAAAGTAACAGAATAATTGTGTATAACATATTGGGGTAGGTGATCTTTCAAGGTACACTAAAGTTCGGAAGATTCGGCAGGCTTTGACTCATTTCATTTCTGAGACTCTGACTTAAGGAAAGCATCACAGACACTCATGCCATAGCGACAATGGTCTTCATATTTTTCTGAAATAGCAATGAATCAAGCAATAACCAAGTAAGAAAATAGGATAGATAGCCATTGCATATTCATACTGAATTATGATGTAACCATAAAAAACAAAGCAGAAGGACGTATAATAACATAGGAAGACATTTATGAAAAACTGCTGAGTGAAAAGATTGGGTTACAGCATACTAGATAGTGCTTGATTTTTCAAATGAGAACATGTTGAAAAATCATCGTGAGACAAAAATAAATCCTTTTGCAACTCATTTTATAGTATCATTTGCATATAAGCTCAAGTAGCCATGGTGATTAACCCTTCCTTATAACAAAACTCTGGTAGATACAAAATTTACTTACTCTTCCAATTTCTGCAGTCCAAGAGACAACGATGGTGTTTGGTACTGTTGTGGACAATCGGACAAGTGAAGTTATGTTAATTGGCCGGCTGGGTCGCTTTGGTTCCACACCATTTTTAGTAGGTGGAAGATAACCCTAAGGATGAAATGTAATTTATTTCCACAATCATTTCAACTCCCATTCCTTACAAAAGAATATACTACAGACTATATACTAGAAAATGCTTTCATTACAATGTAGAGAACATTTGCATTTCCAGATAGGCTGCTATTTATCTAAACAATCTGAAGTCTCATTGCAGTAAGTCTGAAAAGATATTACTAATGGAAATTTAAAATCTTTTAAGAATTAGGTGAATTTGCAAATAGCTTTGATAGGTACTTAAGGAGTGTTTTTAAGGGTAACAGTAACAGCCCCCACATAGCCTTTTTCAAATCTCCATTCTACCAGAGGATTACAGGTGGACATGAACCAGCTGACACCCCATCTCCACGGCTTGAGTCCCAGCTGCTGACTGTACAGAGGGGGTACAAGTGCTTCACTCAGTTATAGGATACATGCTCAAAATTAGAAAAGTTTTCTTAATGAATAACTATGGTGAACAACAGCTGTGATGACTTAATTGACAGCTACACCATTAGTGTACTTTAAAAAATAGCTTTAGGACTTACTGGAAGGCTACAAGGTTTCGTATTCACTTTCACACAAAGATTAGGTGGGAAATGATCCTCTTGTGGGCAGCTGGTTTCTGATAAACAAAACCTAAACAATAAAGGACAAGTTAAATATTTTTGTTAAAGGATGACTTCATTAACACTTTCATTCAATAGTTAACCTAAGAGATGGTCAACTAAAACAAAACACAAACTGCATAAACTAGGTATTTCACATGATGAATCAGCATATGTAAACCACCCTAAACTAGATGATTCCATCAACCGTAGGGTTTCAGCAATCTATTCACCTGTAGTTGTCCTCAGGACATTTGCCAATTATTTGTTTAAGTATGTTCTAAGGAGCATTGTTTTCTGCTGATATTAACAGGAGTTAAAAGAAAGAAAAAGGCTCTGTAGTTGAATAAACAGGAAATTTCTGAACCAAAAGAATGAGTGTAGACTTCTTTAATAAAGAACTTCTCAGAGGTTTTTAAATAACATGCACTACAAATCTTTTGCAGAAACATACTACACAATAGTTACAAAATTTATTTGTTTATTCTGATTCTCAGCAAAAACAAAGCAAAACAAAAAGAAAAAACAACTAAAATGTTATAAAGTCATGCCTAGGATCAAGTTCTGTCCAGTAAGCTAATGTCCTCCTTTATTCCTTTATTCTTTAAGGACTGAAAATGTGAAATAACAAGATTACTGTGTTGCATCTATAAAATCTGGAATATAATTTTAGAAACACAAGAAAATAATTTCTAAATTACAAGAATCTTTTGGGAAAACTAAAGATATCTATATAATCTGTAGACTCTCAACTCTATTCTCTGCTACACAAATCACGAAATAAGGATTAATTTTCTATTTAAGACATCTATTCATTTTTACTTCCATATATATCTGAAGCTCAGCCACACTTTTGCAGAACCCTCACGGCACCTTTGAGTTCTACAGTGTAAAGAATAGTCTGTGAAATTCTCTTCATAGCAAACCTCTCTCAACACCCATGAAGTGAGGTCTTTCCCTCCAGGCCATGGAGCCTGTGTGTGGACATGATTACAAAACGACACAATTGTCTATAGCAAGATTTGTGACAAGTGCCTGTGTGCATTTTCCTAAAAAAAAAAAAAAATCATAATTTGAAATTATCAAAGAGATTAGGGATTCATAAAAAAGGTAATAATTACTGTCCTAAAAAGATTTTCTAAAAATAATGCTTAGCAAACAGATGTCAAAGCCCACAGGACCACTTCCAGCCCTAGTAGGCTCTTCCATCACAGGCTAAATCCTTTTACTAAAGATTCATTTGAAAGGCAGAGTTAGAGAGAAGGGAGGGCCAGACATCGAGAAAGAGAAGTTTTCCATCTGCTGTTTTACTTCCCAAATGGCTGTAATGGCAGGGCTGAACCAGGCAGAAAGCAGGAGATCCATCTGGGTTTCCCATGTGGGTGCCGGGGCCCAAGATTTGGGCCACCCTCCATTGCATCAGCAGATTCATTAGAAGGGAGCTGGATTGGAAGCGGAGTAACAGACAAGAACAGATGCACATGTGTTATGGCACCATTGCAGGTGGCAGCTTTACCAGCCACGCCATAATGCCAGTTCTGAGATGGGTATATACTCTTAAAAATCCACTGAGGTTGCTGAGCTAGCAATGGGGCATCTGTGGAGGGAGAGGAACTGTTTTATTAAAACACAAAGAATCACCCAACAACTACCAAATATATAATGGCTCTTCTGTTTACCATTTCTAAAGACAAATCTGTATTAGAAATGGCTAAAGCAGCAAAGCGTGTTGTAGCAAAGGATGTACCAGTTAAGATTCGGGAACATCCACATCTGATATCAACAGTCCCAGATCCGCTTGTGATCCCGTTTCCTGCGTAGGTGCCGTGAGAGGCAGCAGGTAATGACCCAAGTGGAGGGTCCTTGTAACCCACGAGCAAACCTGGATGGAGTGTTGGCTTACCAAGGGCAGCTGCAATGCGACCCAGTGGATACAAGATCTCCCTCCCCTTCCTTTCATTCTTTCTATCTCTCTAAGCAAATAAAAACAAATAAACACAACTTTCTAAAAATGGCTGAAATATGTTTAACCATCAACATTTCCTTGTAACCTCTGAATTAGTTGAATGCTCTAAGAAAGACAACCTTCCTTTGGAATGTTGCAGCTTTAAAAAATACTAAGGATAGTAACTGTATCTTTCAATCCAGGGCTATGGTTTCCAAGGTTTATTTTGGCCTCGGTGCCCTTTCTTTAAATGAAAACTAACCTACAAGGTAAATAAGCAAAACAGATTAAAAAGACAAAAACAGCACTACTTTGGTTCAGTGTTGTGTGTGTACTCTAAGGGTAGCTCCAGTTTGAAAAAAAAAAAAAAAAAACAACATTGTTTTAAAGAATTCTGGGGCCCAGCAGTGTGGCCTAGTGGATAAAGTCCTCACCTTGAAGGCACCGGGATCCCATATGGGCGCCGGTTCTAATCCCGGCAGCTCCACTTCCCTCCACAGCTCCCTGCTTGTGGCCTGGGAAAGCAGTCGAGGACGGCCCAAAGCTTTGGGACCCTGCACCCACGTGGGAGACCCGGAAGAAGTTCCTGGATCCTGGCTTTAGATCGGCATAGCATCAGCCGTTGTGCTCACTTGGGGGAGTGAATCATCGGACAGAAGATCTTCCTCTCTGTCTCTCCTCCTCTCTGTATATCTGACTTTCCAATAAATAAATAAATCTTAAAAAAGAAAGAAAGAAAGAAAGATTCTGCCACACTACCAGTACACACAAAACACAAGCTGTTAAGGTAGGAAGTGAAAAGCAATTTGGAATCTCTGTTGTAGCTCTCCTGTGCTCTCTCACTGTTTTTACCTCTGTGCTTGAAATATTGTATCAGAGGACTCCCCACTGTTCTGTAAGTGAGGAGTAAGTGCTTCAGATCCATCTCTTTGCCGCTTCCTTTACAATTGGTTCAACTTAGAATCCGATTATTGAGACTATCGTATCTGTGTGACTTACCTTTCCCACACTGTGGGAAAGAGACTGAAGGAATCAACTGTCTCATGCTTGTCTCCTATTACAACAAGCCCATGTGGCAGGTAAGCATCTGGGGCAGCAATTGAATGTTGTGTGGGCTGTTCACTGCCCCGAGCAGAGTGCCTGGGTTGGAGGTGGGGTTCTGCTCCTGATGCCAGCTAACGTGCAAGCTGGGAGGCGGCAGGGGATGGTGCCTCAAGCAGCCAAGTCCTTGTCACCTACGTGCGAGACTCACACTGAATGCCCACTTACTGGCTTCACACTGGCTCAGCTGCTGCAGATGCCTTGTGGGAGTGAACCAGCAGATGGAAAGTGTTCACCTAACATTGTGTTCCTCTCTCTCTTACAAATAGAAACCAAAAGGGCTTTAAAAGAACCACAGGAAACACTTATGTTCCTATAGGACAGTCAGTGAATAGTAAGAGCAGAGGAAGATTTTCGATTATATAATCAAGAGATATATTAACTAAAAGATTAGACATTCTAAGGAGAAATGAGTGGGCTAAGAAGAGTCAGAATAAAGCAGCTGCGAGACCATGTGAGAAAATTTTCCTTTAACTCTCTGAACATTCAAGAGGTATCTCATGAAAGTTCTGACTTACAATACATTTAATTTAGTGGCTTAACAATACAGGACAAAGCAAATTAGAATATTTTACTGTGTTATCTCATGAAACACCGTAGAGTTAAATATTAGAATAGTTAAATTATCTAGAATGATTTGCCTCTGATAATAAAGTCCTTGCTTTTATCAAACTTGGTATTGCTACAGAGATGATCATTATGATATTAAAGATGTCACGAGCTGAGGTTTTTCAGTCGATCAGGAGCAAAGTGAAAAAATTAGACAAGATGTGATACATGACTTGCTGTATTAAAATTTAAATTGGAAAAAAAAATCAAGACACTGCCCAACAGAATGCTTTCTCACCCAAATATCTGAACTTAATATTTTCATATGCTTAAAAATTAATCTGTAGGGACTATTACTCTAAAATTTTACGTAAATACTGTAGTTGGCACTGTACCTTAACTGGACCTGCACTGTGAAGTCACATTTGGTCCCGGAAATATCCCTAGAACAGACAGAATGAGAATTACAATTTATAAAATATGCTCATTAAAGTTGGTTGAAAGATACTATTACTCCAGTAAAGTTTTTCAAATTATGAATTATATCTATTCTCAGATCAGCTAAGACAGTAGAACATTTTCAGTTCTAAAATTTGTATGACATTAACTTCTCACTTAGTACACTGCTTTCTGAAATAAATTAAAATAGGCAGTGCTGGAGTCAACAGCCAAATTCCAAGGGAGACTTGAAGACAACTTACATGGAACTACTGATCTGCTGCACTTGCTGCGGTGTCAATGCAAATGCAAAACAGGTTTCTCGGAAGCGCTGACTGTTGTCTGATGCTAAAGAAGACAAAGAGAATTTTTAGTGATTAAATCCATCAACAGAGAGGGCAACAGCAACACACTCACATGTTTCTAATTAATTAGGACGTACGCTAGAGATCACAGAAGGCCATTACAGAACTAAAAATAAGAAACAGGCTGGTTGTCACAGACACAAAAATAGTTAATTCCAGAAATAACAGATTGGGATTCAAATTCAGAAAATACATACCTGAAGAAAGACTAACAGGAAACTACCTAAGCGTACGAATGTTTGCATCTAAAAACCACACTCAAAGACTAATATTATGTAGAATGACATAAGCCCACTCAAACACAGTGCTTTCTGTTGTAGCACAGAAGGTTAAGCCATGCCTTCCATGTTAGCATACCATGGCAGGATGCCAGCTTAAGTCCCAGCTCCACTTTCCATCTAGCTTCCTACTCTTTCCCCAGGCTAGGCAAGAGAAGATATCCAAGCACTTAGACCCATTCACGCGCATGCAGTTCCTCGCGCCTGGCTTCGGCTTGGCCCATCACCAGCTGTTGCAGCCATGTGGGAAGTTAACAGGTAGAAGGAAGAGCTTGCTCTCTCATTCTCCCCTCACTTTCCGTAACTCTGCCTTTCATGAAACGTTTTTTTTTTTAAATCTTTAAAAAAAGAAAATAACGGCTTCTGAGCTAAGTTACATATATACTTGCTTGACTTAAGCTCTACATAAATGAATGGCATTGGTCATTAAGGCAAATGAAGAATTTTACCAATTCCTGTTTTATTAGTCCATGCAAGCTCCTTTTTAAAGGACTCTATTTATTTGAAAGGCAGACAGATATCTTCCATTCACTGTTGTACTCCTCAAGTGGTCTCAATGGCCAGTGTTGGGCCAGACGGAAGGCAGGAACTGGGAGCTCTAGTGAGGCCTCCTCAGGGTTAAGAGAAGTCCGAGTCTGAGCTATCACCTGCTATCTTCCCAAGCACATAAGCAAGGAGCAGAACTGAAAGTAGGAAATGCTGGTGTCACAAGTAGCAGCTTAACCCACTATACCACAATGCTTAGTATCACCATGCCAAGTTACACCATAATCACATATAACTCCTCACCATAATCACATATAATTTCTCCTATTCTTGAATAATTTGATTTTGAAATTCTCTTATTATTTATTTTATTTGAAAGGCGTATTTACACAGAGAAGGAGAGACACACACACATAGAGAGAGACATCTTCCATCTACTGGTTCATTCTCCAAATGGTCACATGGCTGCAGCTGAGCCTGTTCAAAGCCAGGAACCAGGAGGTTCTTCCAGGTGGTTGCAGGGTCCCAAGGACTTGGACCATCCTCTTTTGCTTTCCAAGTACATATGAGGGAGCTGGGTGGGAAGTGGAGCAGTGGAGACAGGAACTGGCACCCATATAGCATGCCAGCACTACAAGGTGAAGGATTAGCTTTGCTGAGCCACCAGGCCAATCTCCCTCTCTTGCCATTATTTCAAAGGAACAAGTCAGCAGAGAAAAAAGAGCAAGCAAGCAGGTGGGTATGCACAGGTCAGTCTAGAGCATGGAGCCCTAATGGACACTGGTACTGACATTCCACACAGGTAAGTCACTAATGGTCAGCACCCCTCTCGGTCACTAACACCTCTTCAAGGACTCGCTATGAGGAAACACTAAGTAGCGACTTACTTTTTGAATCAGAAAAGAAACACAAGTATTTCACACCTGTTTAAACTATTAAGAAAAAATCACTAAGGATTTACCACGTAGAAATTCTGGCTGGTGGGTCAAGTGAGACAAGTGCTAAAAAAGCAGCTGAACTTAAACTGAATTTAATCCTCCTTGCAAGCAACATCTCTTTTACAACTACCCAAACTCACAACACTGCATTAAAATATCTGTACTAATACAGCTCCATGAGGGAAAAGGAAAAAAGCACTGCTGATCTAGAATTTCACCTCAACATAGGAGGTAACGTGGCCAGGCTGGCTGTACACTTCTGCTCTGTGTTTCTGGGAAGGTTTACTCCAAGGACCAGTACTAACCAGAAGAATGACCTTAGGAAACACTGACCCAGTAATGGCCAGAAATCAAGGACTTGAAGTAGAAAAGCAAACCTTTCCTCCTATCAAGAAAGTCGAACAATTAGTTCTTTCAGTTTTTAGAGGGTTTTTCTGATGAAGATTTTAGTCTAGTAGGTTTAGCCTAATTAAGCTCTTTGGATCCATTCGGTAACAGTGCTAAAACAACTTATCAAGGGCAAAAATTTTACTATTTTCCAGGTAAGCTTTTAGATTTGCTTTAGAATGTACAACTGTAGTAAGGTTTTGGACACACTCAGTTTTAGAAGGATAAGATACGATAACAGGGCCCAACAGAAAATGGCTCAATGGCTAAACCCTTACCTTGCAAGTGCCGTGATCCTATGGGGCTCTGGTTCGTGTCCCGGCTGCTCCACTTCCTTCCCACCCCCCACCCCCCAGCTCCCTGCTTGTGGCTGGGAAAGTAGTAGAGTTGACCAGAAGTGGAACAGCCCAGTAACGAATCAGCACCCACATGGGACACTGTGACACAGTCTGCAGCTTTACTCACATAGCACAACACCAGTCCCAACAAATTAATGACGACAAATTTATTATCAGAAATTCTGGCATTTAACAGCTTCAAAATTTATTTTCAGATCAAGATCCTCAAATATAGCTGTACACTGGAATAAACAGATCACACACTAAAAACCAATCAGCCCAAGTTAACTGTCATAGCTAGGTAGTGGGGCTTTTTTTTTAAATTTCAAAGTGATTTTACATGTGTTGTCCTTGTTGGAAATTTTCATCCTAGCCTAATAAGCTGAAGTATCTAGAAAAAGATGTAAAAGGTGGGAAAAAATCAGTCTTAATAAGGATTGATGGCTTAGCACATACTTGGGCTCTCAAAAGTTCATGGAAATGTGTATTATTTTAGAAAATGTGTGTGAATTCTTAAAGTATTTTTTGGTGCTAAAATAACATTTAAAAAATCTATTTATTCATTTAAAAGAATTACAGAGGGAGGGGAATGATCTTTCATCCAGTGGCTCACTTCCCAGATGGCAACAACAGCCAGACTTAGAACAGCCCAAACGCTAGGAGACAGAAACCCAAACACTTGGGCATTTTCCTGCTGTTTTCACAGGTTAATGGCAGGGAGTTGAAGAGCTCCCTGCTTGTGGTGTGGGAAAGTAGCCGAGGATGGCCCAAAGCCGTGGGATCCTGTATACATATGGGAGACCTTGAAGAAGCTTCTGGCTCCGTCTAGCTCAGCTCTGGCCATTGAGGCCACTTGGGGAGTGAACCAGAGAATGGAAGATCTTTCTGTCTCTCCTTCTCTGTGTAAATCCGCCTTTCCAATAAAAATAAGTAAATCTTTAAATAATAAAAAAAAGTTAAATGTGTATCAAGAAAAAAATTATGCAAGCATTTTTAAATATTCTCTGCATAATAAACTTACCTTTCAATCCATTTTCCCCAAACTTGATATATACATATATCATATGCATCAGCATACATACCAATAAATAAATAAATAAATAAATAAATAAATAAATACACAAACAAGAAAAAAGAAAAAAAATAGAGAAAGGCTAGAAAATGAGCCTTGTGGCACAGCAAGTAAAGCCGCTGCTTGGAATGCGCACATCACCCAGCAGAGTACCAGTTAAGAGTCCTAGTTACCATGTTTCCAAACCAGTGTCCTGACAACACATACTAGGGGGCAGACAACAGAATATGGCTCAAGTACTTGAGCCACCATCTCCCATATGGAAGATCCAGATGGAATTTTGGGCTGTTGACTTGGCCTTGGCCCAGGACAGGCTGTTGGAGGGGGTGGGAGGGAAGGAGAATTTAAGGTTAGAAGATCTTATCTGTCATTCTGCCTTTCAAGTAGGTAGAAATAGGGCCCATTGCTGTAGCCTAGTGGCTAAAGTTCTCTCCTTGAATGTGCCAGGATCCCCTATGGGCACATGTTCTAATCCTGGTCGCCCCACTTCTCATCTAGCTCCCTACTTGTGGCCTGGGAAAGCAGCCAAGGATGGTGCAAAGCTTTGGGATCCTGCATCCGGAAGAGGCTTCAGGCTCCTGTTTTCAGATCAGCTCAGCTCCGGCCATTGTGGCCAGCTGGGGAGTAAATCAATGGGTGGAAGATCTTCCTCTGTTTCTCTCCTCCTGTCTGTATATCTGACTTTGCAATGAAAGCAAATAAATCTTCAAGTAGATAGAAATAAACAAGCACTTTAAAAAAGGTGAGATTGAGTAGCAGTTGTTATTTTAATACCAAAACATCCCCCAGAAGAATAAAATTATAAATTGGGGCTAGAGGTAGCTTAGAATTCTACAGGAATTAAAAATAATTTTTAAAGGCATTTTAAAGGTTCTTGGGTTTCAAATTGTAATTTTCTTTTTAAAGCATTTTAACTTGCCTTTTTTAAGCTTTCAGAGCTTTTCAATTCTCACAGATTCTTTCCAAGAAAGACAATTAAATCCCACTTTTTTCAGGATTCCTCCGGTTAGATAATTTAATTGGGTGAGAAACAAAATGAAGAAGAACCCGTGAAGGTGGCAGAGTGCTGAGTCAAAAAAACAGGACCACGACGCCTCTTCAAACAGTATGTAGGAGAGCTCTGTGGCGTAGAGAGTTAAGCTGCTACCTGGAGAGCTGGCATCACACATGCGCATGGATTAGCATCCCAGTTGCTCCACAGCTAATCCAGCTCCCCAGCTACTGAGCCTAGGAAAGCATCAGAGGGCACACAGGAATGATCTGATCACTCCTATTTCAAAGGCTTTCATTTGTTCCCCACTATAGAAACAGCACCTACCACTCTAACATGTCATTCAGATTAAGCTGGTGGCATTCTATCCGTCTGTATCATCAATCAAATAAAATACTTAAAAAGGATTTATCAAATGTTTTGGAACCACTACAGTGAAATGATTATTTTTAAAGATTTATTTTATTTTATTGGGAAGTCAGATATACAGAGA